AATGAACGCACCCCCCCCAAGTCGGCTCTCAAAATTTCGACTTTTTTTTCACTCGCGTAATAAACGCACCCCCAACTCGGATGTCAAAATTTTGACCCCCTCCCCCCACGCGCGCGAAATGAACGCACTTTTTTATCCTGGTGCAGCGAGGTCGCGAATGCATGGGCAGCGTGGGCGAACGAAACGCCTTGCAAAAGGCGTTAAAAATTCGCAAAGAGAAAGATCCAACGGAAGCAAGAAAAAAAAAAACATGGAGAGGAGCTTTTTTTTTAACGAAACAGCTTGCGAAAGGCGGCAAAAAAAAACAACACGGCACTGAAAAAAAAAAAGAACTTTTTTCTCCTTTTTTTTTTTTTTGCACGGCGCAATTTGGTTACGGGGGTCATGCGTCGCGCGCAAGGAGATAAGAAAGATAAGGGGAGAGCCCTCGCCTAAGCCACGCCTAAGCAAACGAAACAACTTGCAAAGGGCGGCAAAAAAACAAAAAAAAAACAAGGAACTAAGAAAAAAAGAAAACAAAGATTTTTTTTTTTTTTTGCACAGCTTAGTTTGGTCACGGGGCCGGGCGCCCGGCGCCGCGCGCAAAGAGAAAAGAAGTTACTTCGATTTTTCAGGATAAAAGGTCCGTTCATTATGCTTCATTATGCCAGTAAATACGGACGCAAAAATTTTACTTTGCGTAATGAACGCCCCCCCCCCCCCCCCCCCCCCAAAAAAAATTTGCATCGATTTTTCGGAAAAAAAAGTGTGTTCATTCTGCGAGCAAATACGGTACAGTTTAATGCTTTCGCATTAAAAAAAAACAAAACAGGCAAGCAGATGTTGGAGCTTAGGTCACGTTTGGGTACAGGAATGCACTCTGCTCTTGGATTTTGAGCATGCAACATTATTATGGTGAGGAGATCTGCAGGAGGCACTTTTTTTGTCCAGCTTGTTTTCCAGAGGGCTGTGTCCTTACCAAACGTGAACTCGGCGCTTTGCATCACTTTGCTCTATCGAGCGCAGAGGGCACAAGTGCTGCATGAGTGTTTGGTGGAGACGTCTGTTCAATCGCCGCTGGCCGAACAGAAGCCAAGACCCAGCCGAATGCTGAAGCGGTGTTTGGCTACATCTGCCGAGTGCTGCGTCAGAAACACAAACAAATAATCCGCGTTGTTGTTGTCCCCATGGGTTTAGTTTTCAACTTAGCTGCTAGGGGTGCAATGGTTGGAGCTCTTCTGCAATAGCTGCAATGTGCCCATGCGTAATATTTACAGAAGACCTCAGTCACAGACCCAGCCTTCAGGGGCCGCAGTCGCAAGCTCACTTCGGAACGCAGGCTCCTTGCAAAGGTGTGATGTCGGAGGTAGTTTACCGTTGCTGGGCGACTCCCATAGCCTCCTGTTCTGTTCCAGAAAAACAAGAAATTCTTTGACGTGCGACATCGCATCAACCGCCAGATGGACTGCGTAACGGCTCGGAAGTTAATGGAGAGCACCGCAGATGCTGCATGGCTTTACCAGGACCCCAGCACAGGCAAGATTTTTTTTTTTTTTTTTTTTTTTTACATTTATTGTTTGTAAATAATTAAATGTCAAGACTAATTTAGTCATCTTAATGGATTACTTCAGTGTATTAAGTCATCTTCATGTAGCATTATAAGCCATCCTACTGCTACATTAAGCCATGTTACATAGGTGTTCAGTACATATGTAGTGTTTTTATTTTAATCAAAAATATGCAGATGACTGAACCATACTCATTCGAATGAATAAAAGTTTACGAAGCAGTTGAAAGACGAAATGTTTGGCGAAGCCAGGATTTGAACTTCGAGTATTTCCAGTCAAGTGTGCTAACCTTTGTACCTTGTCTTTCTGGCGTTTCCTATCTGTCATATTAAAGGGAAACTGAAGGTGTTCTGTATTTGAGGATAAACACCTAAATCGTCTTCATTTGGCCTCCAGGATCACGAATATTGAAATTATTTTTCAATTTGGTGCACGGAAGCTGCAGAAAATCATTTTTAAAGTGCCGCTAAAGTCCCTCTTTCCTGAAGCGTGATGTCATATCGGGAGTTTTCGGAATCTCTGCTCTCGCGCATCTCTAGCGCTTATCAAAGCTCTACGCGCGTACTCTTGATACTTTCAAAAAGGTGAGAAAAAGATGTCGTGACTGGTGTCAGTATGGGGGAATAATATACCTGGCAAGCTTGCAATTGCATGCACTGCCCACACTAGTGACACGCTTGGCAGCCGAAAGATGCAACGACTGGTCGGAGGTTTTTGTGTTTTCTCGCGTTTAGTTACATCTTTGGGGAAAATGAACATGATAATTTGATTCATGGGATAAAATTACTCTAGAATTCACCTCTAATCTGTTTTTATTCAAGAACCCCTTCAGCTTTTTCCTTTAATGCACAGAAATTAAATTGATCCAACCAGAGGTGTTCTGGGTACGAAGCCTGAGTCATTGTAAGAACTATAAAGTAGATGCTTCATCATTTTTTTATACAAGCTGTCATGTTACATCTATATCTAGACATTCAATGAGATGCAAGTGGTTTCCAAGCATTAACTACCAACTTTATTTCTGTTTCTGTAGAAAAGCTCAACATAACCTAGGTTATATCGGCACTACTATTCAGTTTTCTTTTGGATGACAGCAGGACATTGACGAATTCTGCTGAAAGGTGCCAGGAATATACCAAGATGCTATCAGAGTCTTGCATATGTTTGCATCCCATTAATTTTTGTTGTCAAAAATATTTATACTCTCCCATGTATTAAACTTAAGCTTGCCATTTCATGGGCTTGTGTGCACGAGCAGAAACATGGCAGTGGCCAGTCACCCCACTACCGTTAAATTCCAAGAGATGCCCCACCCCCGAAAGATAGCCCACCCCTATTCCGGACTTGGTTTGCTATAATTTTTTAAACATTGAAAGATAGCCCATTCCTATTATTCGTAGGGCTGGGATCAGTGATGGCCTCGGCGTAAATGCGGCTAGTTAGCTATGGTGGGATATACGCAAACAATGCTGACTGGGGAGTACAGATATCTTTGCTTAATTGCCGGAAGGGACACAACCTTACAATAGCAATCTTTTTAACTTTTCTTGATTGTACATTGAAAGTTAGCCCACTCCATATTTTCACCCGATTTGCTCTTGATGTTAGGTGGGCTATCTCTCGGGATTTTGCAGGTAGTGGCAAATTACATTGTTTTTCTTTACTTGCAGAAAGCTTCATAAAGCCCCCTACATTCTTGCCTGCCAAAAACGATTCCCCTCAAGCAAGCTCCATTGCCAAGTAAGCCAGAACATGCTCTTAGTGGACTCCAGACACATCGGACCAAAAAATTGTCTTAAAATAAGTTTATTGGTCACCTTTCCTTTGATGAAAATGTGTATTGGATTCGTTTTCTAAGGGTGTTTGTTGTGTAGCACATTATGACACAATGTAAATTCCAGACCATTGCCTTACATGTATTATATGTTAAGGGTATGTTAAGAGATGACTGCAAACTGCAGACATAGTTGTAGATAAGGAGTGTATGGGGTGGCAATGGATAAAAGTATGCTTGCGATTTCGCACCTTGCATATGCATATAGGGGTAAGGTCCTGTAAGCACTCGTCACTCCCTTGGCTATGCCCCTGGTCACAAGCCATGAATAAGGCATCTGAAAATCTTTGCAAGAGTAACGGCACTAGCTTAGCTCTGCCCCACAACACGTTGCAACTCCAGAAAAGCCAACCACTTCAAAAGTGCACCAAAGGAGTGGGCTCTTATTCATGTACATAGACCAGCCACTCATGATCTTGCAGTAAATGGTGCAAACTGTGAACTGATTAAAACATGGAATGATAAAGTTTAAACCATGTTAACTAATTGTGAGAGAAAGTCTCCTAACTTTTCCACCCAGGGGCGCTTGCAGCAGTTCAGACGAGGAGTTTACAAGACAGGAAGCCACCAGTGGTGCTTGGCTGCCAGCAAGAGCCATTGATTCGCAGCCTCGTCATTTTCTGGTTAGAGGAAGAAGGCGTAGGCAGGGCAGCTCACGTGGTTCAGCCAAATTGTCAAAGCCCCATACTTTCAGGTGAGAAATACCTTTGTTCACTTCCGAAGTTTGTAACAGCTGTGAGGCTTTGCGAGGTGAACCTGCAATCACGTCATTTGGCTTCAAATTCTGGGAGCTCTTGTTCTGGATGCTGCTTTTTTGGTTGAAAATTATTATTTTTTAGAGATCATCGAGCAAAATATTTTTTTTTAGTTTGCTGCCTGTACAATATCTGAAAATCACCTTCTGTATTCCATAATGTGTGCCTCAATAAATCAAGAAAACATAACTCCTCACATAATAATGCATCATTGCACCTATATGCCATGCTGATAGAGTGAAATATTTTTACGATTCAAGTGTGATATTTGTGTAAAGTACCACTGAAAAGAATTTTTTTTTTTTAACTGTCTCGGCAAAGAGGATTTCACCTAACTTGTAGGGCCAGAAAAAGAATGGTACAGAAATAACTCTGTGCTTTTATATGTTCAAGCTGTACCCTCTATCCCTACTTGTTCCATTACACTTGTCCATTGAAATAGGAATGGAAGGGAAATTTTTCCCGTCGCAGGATTTTAACATATACAGGCATAATCACACTCGAGGCATAGTGCAGCATTATAGATTGTACTGATTGGCATATGTGGGACTATATCTTGAATAACTGAACTTGTTTTACTTAATTTTTAAGCACTTGGGAGAAGCGAGAGTAGACCTCGGTAAAGATCTTCACTTTGCTAACTTGCACTGTTCATTCTTTTTTCATTTTTTTTTTGCAAGCCACAAATACTTGATTGGCCAAACAAGTGGGCCACGAGCAAAATCTGATGCATCGAGAATTAAGCAGGAATGACATTATGGCGCAAATAAGCATGATCAGTTCAATCCATTCACCACTTGTAGATTTTTTTTCATGCTCATTGTTTTAAGAAAAGGCTGTAAGCTATTTCTTGCATCCTCTCACATGAACAGTGAAGATGAAGATTCTCCAGATGAGAGGCAAAGTGTGGGCAAGGGTCGTGGATCCACGTCTCATGAGGGAGGCAAGGTGCAGTCACGGCCCCCAACGCGTATCACGGACTTGGTTCAGACCATCGAGTCGCAGCTGCAGAAGCGGCAGCTGCAGAAGCGGCCCCTGGGCTCGGTGAACACGGTCAAGGACGTTGTTCAGGTACCACAAATATGACCGGCACACCGTTGGTATAGTATGCGAACGGTGCCTCGCTCTTGCTCCTGGGAGCTACTGTCGAGACCATTTATAACGAAGTCAGTTATAATGAAATAGCGGCTACAACGTAGCAGTCACGATTTCCCATTCGCTTCTGCACTTCGTTATAACCAAAGTCGGTTATAACAAAATAGCGGATATAGAGAAGTGATTTCCGATTCCCATTGACTTCGTTATAACTAGTCTCGACAGTAGTAGACGAAAAGAGTCTAAAGGAAGCTTGCAACGAGACAGTGACGCCGTGATGCGGCTCTCGGTCAAGTCATTTTCCACACAAACCACGCGTGGAAGCCGTCGGAGAGCGAGTATTGCACCGGTCATAGTTTCTATTAATGTCGGCCTACTCGCGTATCATGCTATGCAAAACGTTCGAGGCCACAGCCGGCACCTATTTCTTTTACATTAGTAGAGATGGAAATCGAAAACACGGACCTCCTTTGTGCGACCGCTTCAGTCATCTCATTCCCAATGGGCTTGCACAATCCCACAGCGAGAGAAGAATAACATGACAACATGTGGGGCAAAAAATACTTCTCGCATAGATTTCAAAGATCGCCGACACCGGTGAAGGATGTCGTCCCGTAATAGTCGCCACGCCGTCATCAAATGCAAAAGCACTTCGGAGGATACACAAAAAACACTGTGGTAAGTCACCGTTGTCGACGCCTTTACTCCGAAGACAGACTTCAGTCTGAGTTTTAAGTCAGTTCTGTGAGTCAAATCATGTGAAAACAAACAGAGCAACGCCGGACGCAAGTAGGTTTTCTAACGTCAAAGTATGAAGCCTTTACTCTGCCACAAGATTGAGGAGCGTGGCCGCAGAAAGACACAGACGTGGCGGTCTGTGTGACGTGGCCACGTGCGATGCAATAGGCCTCCTGCGTTGTGCAGGGGGTGCTGCGAAAAGGGACTTATTAGGACTTCTTTTGGCTAGTACAAACTTGAGCGTCTCAAACTGTCACACACGTAGAAGTGTGCCTGCTCCGGTGCAGAAGGCAATGCGGAGGGCAAGTTCGTCTGCTTCTTGCGCAGGGGGTAGCGGTGACGTCAGAACGCCGAGCCCTGATTGGCTGATCGCGACCCCCTATCTGAGCGTCGTCTGCTCCTTTGCAACGTCGTCTGCGTCTGTCTTACCTTTCCTGCGACTTTCGGAAGTGCAGAGGCCAGATTCACGAAACGATCTTACGCCAAAAATGTACGTAAGACAAAACGTGAGAACAAATTCGTATTCATGAAACAAAATTTTCGGAAGTTTTGCGCAGGTTACGACGAAATCCTACGACAGCTCCGAAGCTGTCTAACGCACTTCTTACGATCAAATCAGCATGGCCGACAGCGTCGCGGTCGCGACGACCCACGGACGTTTATTTCTCTACGTGCGCTTCTCACGCGTCGCGACTTCAAGCAGCAAGAAAAAAGGAAAAAGTACTTGAAAAAGAACACTACGAACAAGAACGCTGGATCCACAAACACCCGGGAAAAGCTCCAACGGCCAGGGTTCCACCAAATGCGACCAAGCGAGCTCGGCAGTTAGGCCTAACAGGCACTCGGCGACCGGCTGGCGTGCTGAATGGAATATGCCCGCGCGACCCTTGTGAACCCTTCCCGTATTATACTTTGATCGCTGACCTCAATTTTAGATTAAGAGGTCAATTTCTTCCTCTTGTTATCTCCTTGTTTCCCGAGGAAACGGCGACTCTCGCCGGTGAAAAAGCGGTGAATCTCCGACAGACGCAGGAAAGGTAAAGCAGCCATCCCTTTGACTAGCAGACGTAAAGCAGACGACGTTAACTGCGCCAACCTGCTGACGCCGTTAAAGAGTGAGGGGTCTCGCCGCACACAAATGGAGGGAAAAAGTATTTGGGAGGTAACTTGCGGACACTAACACGCTCACTCTCAGTTCTTAGCAAGCAAACCTCGGCGCCTCGGGACACCTCGCCAGTGAGTCCTTTGACCTCCTTCCTTGATGCGCGACTGCTAGTCGTCAGACAAAAACAACGTACCGCTCGAGTTATTTCGTCTGCCCTCTCTGAAAAGCGAAGTCGAGTTCGCTCGTAAAGACCTGCACTTCCGAAAGTCGCAGGAAAGGTAAGACAGACGCAGACGATGTTGCGAGCAGACGGCGTTGCAAAGGAGCAGACGACGCTCAGATGGGGGGTCGCGATCAGCCAATCAGGGCTCGGCGTTCTGACGTCACCGCTACTTCCTTTCTTATGCGCAGAAGACGAAAATGAGCCCACTTGCGAGGCATATTGCTAAGAATACAAAGTAACAGCAAAACTTCGAACACCATTAAAGCACAGGTCATAGCTGAGACGCTAAAAGCATGAGCCAAGAGACGCCGCTTCAGGCGTTCCAAAGAAAAAAAGGAAATAAAAAATAAAACAAGAGAGTGTCGGGACGTTATATGTTCTGACATCACCACGCAGAGATAAGAGACGCATCCCCTGGCAATGGTGGCATGAATCTGTCACTTTCGATTGTCTTGTGGCATTGAATCTAGCTGCTTTCGGACGTCCAAAGGTGTCTTTCCATTCTTCAGCACTATACAGAAAGAAAAAATTTTAGCGAAGGCGTCATAAGTAGTGCAAGGCCCAATCAAGTGAGATTGTACTACCGAAAATAAGGGCGCCACAGTTTGTTCAAAGCTTCAGCGCAGCAAGCCTATGCTTGCTTCACCGTCGGTGGCGCTGCCAACGCGGTGCCAAGGCGGACTGGCATGGCCCCTTTAGGTCTTGTACCTTTCCCTGCAGCAACTTTTTGCCAAATTAATGGTTGCCGATTCTTCCCATTGCGGGTGTATAATTTTCATGTTTTGGCACTGAGTATGTAGTGACCCTAACTCAAGCAGATTGGAATTGGTACTGTCACTGCCGGTGGAGCTTAGCATTTGTTTTAGAAGTCTACTGTTTATGCCACGAGCTACCGCATTCAATTTCCTCCGTGTTTCAAAATGCAGGTGGAAGACGTCCCGAGTTTGAATGCGGGGGACCAGAGGCTCCCAGTTTTGATGTAAGCTATTTGAATCACACTGACAAATGGAAATCAAAACACGGAGGTGCAGCATCCTAACCTTATGATTATTCAGAAAGTGCAAAAAATAAGTTGTTTATTAAGTATTGAATAATTATAATAAAGCCCATTCAGCTGACCACAACCAAAATGGAAGCTTTCCTTTACAGACTTCCAAAACGAGTGGACAACATGGCAACACCATCCTCAGGTACGGTTTCTTTGACAACCCTTTTAAGGACAATATGGCCCATAGTTTTGTGATTCACAATGACTGATGCTCCCAACAACTGACTGGCCAGCAGCTTCCCCACTTCGCAGTGATGGGATTGTCACGCCAAAGTGCTTATTCTGCTACCTTTCGCCAAACTTTGAGCTCGGACTTGCTTAACTGCCAGATTGCTATGGTAGGCTTGTGCATATCTTCAGAACTTCCGGTTATAGCATCAAATATTGTACTATATTATTTTAAGTTCTATCAAACACAGAAGTTTCACAATATTTGTCGCATGTGTGACTTATTGTGCCAATCTAGCTAGCTTCGTTGATTGCGCTTCTCACTGCACACTGGTGCACTGCACTGAACCGACAACCGCAAAATCGACATAGCGATTTTTCGTATCTTGCTTTGCCAAGCGCACCTGCATGTCAAGGGGAAAGCACCGTTTCAGGGCAGGACATGACACATGATTTCTTAATAAAGCTGTGGCTATCATATATAGCAGTGGTCTCAAACTCATTTGAGCCTAGGGGCTAGATATCCCACACCGAGGGGGAAGAGAACATATGAATTTGGCCAGTGGCATCTTTAGATTTGATTTGTTTATATGACTGCTCTGGGCCCTGACCTGATGTGATAACAATGATTGAGATGACACCGCCCCGCCAACGTGCTAGCATTTTTCATAAAACCAGAGCGCAAGTACACTGCCGTTCCCGTTGCCGAATTCACTTGGGAATTAACCAAGCTCAACATGTCTCTAAAAAAACAATCGGTTAATTTGATAGCTCTTGCTTTTCTGACGATTTTTATTACGACACTCAAGCAAATAATTGTCTTTTAATGGTGATAATTTTTTGACGGTGAGAACCTTGAGCTCGTAGCTTTATTTTTGGCAGTTTCTCCTTCTGATCAAGAGCTCATGCAACCGAGATGCATCCTTCATTGAATAACTCGCGCTTGCAGCCTAATAGAGGAATTGTTGTACATTACAAAAAGCTGGGAAGCAAAAAAGAAGCAAAAAAAAAAAGGCAAATGAACACAGAAAGGTATAAACCATGTAAATACATTAAAGGGGCCCTGCAATCATATTTAAGCATCTACCTTTTTTGCGGTTTCCACGTCTCTTGGGGTTCGGGCAAGCCAGCGGGCACGGAGAGAGTAACTAAATATCAGCGCGTCATATTTTAACCGGATGGCGCGGAAACCTCCTCCATCGACAAGGGCGACCCGCGGTACCGAAAGCGCGCAAAATGTGACGTCTTTGGTCCTGGGCTTGCCACTGGTCAAAGCCGCTAAGAGCTTTTTTTTTAGTCGAGATACAAAATAAAAGTGTCGCGAACCGTTTCATTTATGTATGAAAGTAGTTTTTGTTCACTATTTTAGATCAGAAAAGAAACAAATGCAGTTTAGAAAGTACGGAAACGAGAAATGACCCTTCGACATACCCGCCACCAAGCGGCGGAAAAAAACGGCGCATACTAGAAAAGGCTGGTGGGATGAGGCTACGACAAACGAGGAGCGTAGAAAGGTCCCGGATATACGCGGCGGCGCTGTGGTCGTATACCGGCTCAAGAATGCGACCGGTTCCGAGTGTTCCGAAGGCCTTCGGCGCGGGCCCTGCTGGCGATTTGGCCATTTGGCGGTGCGTCAGCGCGAAGTGGCTCCCATTTCTGAACTGATCTTTACCCCGTGTTTGCTGTCGTTTGTGGCCTATGAAGTGTTATGCCGAATTAGTGATTAGTCGCGCAGCAAATGCAATGCGAGCTGCCCTGGCCGCCCGCTTCATACAGCATATCCAACACGTGCTTCAGTGGCGTCCTCTCGAGCCGTCGACACGGAGTGCGGCAGCCGTGTGCGCTCGATGAACTCACTACTCCTCCTCTAGTTCAAGGCCACTTAAGCCAGGACCTATGACGTCATGAAGGAGGTTATTTTTTGCTTGTTGTTGTAATTCTAATTTGCCTATAACTTTTAAAATAAAGCGGAATTTGAGAAAAGAAAAGTTGGATTAAGTTACTGCGTTCAGTATGCTCAGGTTCAGTGCAAATTAAAAACCAGTCAAAAAGTCATTGCAGGGCCCCTTTAAGAGAGCAGATCTACTTTTCGAGTGAAAATTAATCGACGACATGAGATCACTATGGGGCATGCCATTCTCCAGACATGGGAACCGGTACTCGCAGCATTTTGCCTGCGGGCCATGTCGCAGCGAGACACGGGCTGCATGTTTAATAGTACAATAGTATAATGAATAGTATAGTATATATTTTCAAATTTGAGATTTAGCAAGGATAATTGAGTGTTGCTAAGATTTTATGGATTGCTTTGTAGGTTTATTTTTTATGTCGACTCTCTTGTTTAGATATTGCTTTTATATGGCTTCATATTTGTTATGGTACAGTGAGGGGAGTACACTAAAACTAAATTAGCTAGTGCAGTGGATGGAATCGTGGAAACAACTAACGGATTCGGTGGGATTGTTTCTTTTTTTTTTTTCTCACATGCTGCTTTGTTATAAGTTCTGCCTTTAACATGTTATTGATGACTGCAAATGAAACTCCGAAGCTTTTCTTTTTATCCGATTTAATTGTAGTTTCATTAGAACCTTATTATCATTTGAAAAAAACATCAATATGGGTGCACTAAATTATTTCAACGTCATTGGAATGGAATATACTATTTGCTTTATCCTTGAATCTGTACTGGAAGTAACTATGCACTGCAGCTCATACTGTCATTCATAAATCAGCATCTTGTTGCAATGTTTTTTGCTTCTGCTTCTGTGTTCGAAGGAATCAAATTTACCGTGCAACTGCTGCTTCAAAGGAACTTTTAGCAGCTCCATTGTGACTGTCATGTTCAGAGTTGAAAAAGGGTTGTTAACCTATTTTGCAATGAATGTGATTGAGATTGATAATACATGTACTTTGGAAAGATCAGTGTGTGCAATGTGATCTCACTATTTGTAATGCATATTACTCATTCCAAATGTTTTTCAGCCTATATATGATACTAGCTGAACAACCATCCCATCTAGTGAATGTTTCTATTTCCTTTACGTTGATTTATATGACCGCTATACCAGTTTTCAAATTATGTATAGAAATGCAACAACTAAGAATTCTTCCCCCGCAAAAAAAGAAACTGTATGAGCCTGCAAACAAACCCTCCTTTGGACCTCAATATTTGTTTTGGCAATGCGATACTGCTGTCCCAAGTACTACTGTGAGCACCAGACTCGGCGTAGTGGTTGGCACAACAACTCACATGAATGAATAATCAGAAAATACAAGTTGTGCAGACCTAACCATGAGCTGGTGCTGAAACACCCTGGAAAGGGGCACTCCAGACACAGTCAAGTGTTTCATTGTTCCATACAATACGCATAGCATTGTCAGAGGTGCTGGTGTGAGCGCAGGGATGTCATCTGTGCAAGCCCTTTTGCAAATAAAATGCTGACTAAAACTATGCAATAGCTCTCTTAAACATTCTTTACTGGTCATATTAAGTTTCATAAACCTAACCTGTATCTCCATTGGAAATGAAGGAGCTCTGTTTTACGCAAGTCGATAAGTTATGCTACAAAGTTTGACCAGACAAATTCAAACCCCTTAAATGCACATTTGAACATTTCAGCTTTCTGAAATGAGATGAGATTTCTAGGAAGTATTTCATGGCATGAGAAATAAATATTCTTGATATTCACATTGAAGCATCAGTGGTTCTAATGCATTTTACACATTGCATCTTTCAATTCTTACACAGGTGTTGGCACAAGGAGAGAGACCTCCCCTTCCCAGAACTACAGTGAAGAAGACCTCAGTTTAGAGGAACTAAGCTGAAAGGTCACCCAAGTGAAAAGCTGGCTCTTAGAACTCATTTAATTGCTCAATAAATTATCTTTTTTTACAGAACTCCTAGAGTGCAATAAGATCTTGCTAGTTTGGACTTTTACTTGGCACAAAAACAGAGGCCATTAAGTTAATGCTACAGTGGGACAGCAACCTCACGCAGGGGATTCTTCGCAAGCATGATTACTACCAAAATGCTACCGTGAAATACCGAGGAAGCGCCCACTCAAAATTTGAAGATAATCACAAAAAAATGGGGATGGGCACATATGATCATTTATTTTACATATATATATGTGCATATTTTTTCCGAGGTTTCAAATTCTGAGGGTGGGCGCTTCATGTGGAATGGGCGGATGCACAGTGTTCTATGGTAATACAAGTTATTGCATTCAGTGTTGTTTGCATTAATCTGGACAATGCATAGTCACTGAATGTAGCAATGGAGAATGACTAGGAAATTCCAAACTGCGCAACATCATGTCTATGTTGTACCTCTGGCGAGAATGTTTCCTTTTTAACATACTAAAGTTGGAACATTGTGAAAGGTGCAGGACAAATTTGAGCAATCTGACTGCAACATTGAGAACACAAAAAGCATGTGGCAGTATTTTTTTTTTTCTTTTTTTTTTTGGGGGGGGGGGGGGGGGAACTTAGCTTGTAGTTATTAAAGGAGATGAAGACAGAGATAACAGATGTATTTTGGAGACTGGCTGTGAAGGGGGGTGAACTAGTCTGATATATTGTAATTTCTCAAGTCATATTGTGACATGTTATACTTGAAGCTATTTTCCTCCAGAGGGAGCAATACAAAATAAACTAAAAAAAAAGTGATGTGGCTGTGTTTCACATTGTGTGTGTTGCTCCAGTTACTTTGCAGATCTCTCAAGAAACTATGCAGACGTATGAAAATGCCTTTCTGCAAGGTGTGATGAACCTCATTGCCATTAGAGGCTGGAATAGGCATATTTTTGTTGTAGGTAATAGGACATGGAAAGTTGCGAGATGACAATGTGTCGTGTAGCTTCTAAGGAAGAAATGTTTGTTTTTTTGGTGCTGCAGCAACGGAGGCCATAATGCACCAAAACATAAAGGAACCAATTTATACATAAATATAATTCCTCTTCTATGCACTACACCATTATCAAAGATACCTCTAGTTCAGTGTTTTTGGAGTTTATTTTTTGTGCAATTCACAGGGTTTTTTTTGGAGTCAATTTATTGCTGGAAATTCGGGGTTTATCGGAGTTTATTTTTGTTAGATTCCCAATTCTTAGTTCCTCTTTAGTTGTTTAGTTTTTTTTTTCAAAATAAAAGTAAATAATGTAGGTAACAAATGTACACTGAACTCATTAAAAAAATTACCGGTACTGAAACTTGCGATTGGTGGTACTAACTGTCCCATGACAAGTTTTGAAAACCTGTGTTACCTAATAAACAAATGTTACTTCGAAATAGCCAAACTCCTGGACGGATAAAACCTTCACCTGCTCTCCCCATCCTATGAAATCTACAGGTTGCTATCTTTCAGTTATAAAAACACAACCAGAACAGTGGCTTTTGTCATGGTCCAGAAGTACATTCGCCCATTGTACTGAACGTTGACAAGATAATTGGGAAACTCTCTTTGTCAATAATCCAATATCAAGAAAAAAAAACTGGATGGACTTTTTCTCAGAGCCTTTGACGCTGTGTCCCGAAAAGCTTTATTAAAATACCGTTGTTTTTTATTGCCATCATGACCTCAAAATTCAAGTTTTTAGGATAAATCGCAATTGTCAAAATCTTAACGGCGAGTGTTTTTCTAAGTTTATCGGATTTATCACAAAAAAACAGAATCCTACCTATAACCTCCTTTCCAATGGAAAACTAGCTAATAAATATGGATGCCAAGTCGATCTCTGGAGGCAAGAAAGCTTTCCAATATCACTTCAACAGCCTTTTGATTTTACAGATGACTGCCTAGGCTTACTAACATCATGAGCACAAGGAGAATGCATGAAGGGCGATTCACACAGTTGCATTGAGACGGACTGAGTGCAAGGGTTGCTATGGCAACATTTGTGTCAACTCCAACAAAACCGGGTAAAAATCGGTTTTGTTGGAGTTGACGAAGCTGTTGCCATAGCAGCCCTCGCAATCTGTCGGACTCAAGTGTGTGAATTTTCCTTAAGAAACTCCCATACGAGTGAATCTTGTCACAGGCCATGTGCCCTTGCATAAAAACAGTGCTTTTGCGGTTCACAAGTGTAATTGGGCACAGTAGACAGGTCTGTATTCGTTTATCAAAAACTGCTTATCGATACATGGCTCCCTTTAAATAGAACATTTATTTAGCCTCATTGACCCATGTTACACCATGTCGCATGAGGGACATCATGACAACTCTCAACACCGTAATATCGCCCGACACCATGATGATGGCAAGATGCCCCAATGGCTTTACATATTCACAAAACACTCAAAATGTGCCATCTCCTTAATGTGCCTACAAAAAGAGGGGTGAAGAGGCCCTATAAAAGCTGTGCATTTAGAATGCCGTTTTGGAAATGCCAGAAAAACAGCCAATTTTTACTAGGTGGATTGGATTACTGACTTCACTTAGGTCACTGGAAGTATAGTGGGTCGGGCAGCTCGGACACAGCAAAAGTGAGTCCATGGGCTTCAAAGGCACAATAGGACAACGCCGCCAGAACCTGGCCTAATCCACTTGCCCCACAAGCGAAAGAAGCCGTCGACGAGATGTTGCAAGAGATGCTGCTAAAGCAAATGCGAGCTTGTTGACGATCAGCAGTGATAGAAGCAGCATTCGACCTTTCGTAGCAGGTTCTATAGCAGGCATAATGGTTAGGAGCACCCACCGACGCTTTTGGAGCAGATGCCAACACCTGTTAGCACATCTTTTAAAAATTAAAAATTGATTGCATCTCTCAATGAGTTCATCTTTGTTAAGGATTGCAAGTTCCTTTTTTAATACTGAAGCATATTACTTATAATTTTTTTTAGTAAGAATAGATTGGACACAAAAAAAAAACACAACTTCTTTTTAGGAATATGGCTGAGGTCAGATTAGGTTCCATTTGGTATTAAGAATAGTTGAACAATGAAGCACACTGCAACACTTCATTCGAGATAAAGCCTCTCCTGCGTTTTGCACTTGATAATTAATTTAGCCTGTAAACATAATTCCTTTAAAATTCCAGCAGAAAATCTGCACATATACTAAAACGTTTATCATACCTCAATCACAAACTGGAAAAACCCACAAATATTATGAACGTTTGTGCTTTAAAGGTGACACTGTGCCTTAGTGGCGTTGAACCAGAGTTGAACCAAAGTTTGCTGCCCGGGAACTACCTTGACTACCGTATTTATTCAAATAGAGAAGCGAGCTTTTTCTCTTTTCTCGACACAGCTTTTTAAATTTAAAGGTCAACCTACAGTCAAGACCAAAGAAGGCAGATCTATAATAGTACTGAGCATAATTTCTCAGCCAATCACGCTAACACACGAGTTCCCCCACACTGCTCCTAGCACTCCAGTTCAAAGTGGTGAAGCGTGACGTGCGCTCGCTGGTGCGAGGCCATGATGACTGATGTGAGCTGTGCAAGTGACATGGTACACTGTAGTCATGCCATGGGGAAATGTTGCGGACACTATAATCAAATGATATCACCAAGAATAAAAGACCCCGGGTCAGTCTTATTAGAGTAGCCGCCATCCCACTATTTTGCAAAGTTCTCGCGACTTTTAGCTCCCGACATCGCCAACATAGTCTGGAAATTCGGACGACGACGGGACCAGTGCAGTTGAAGAGTAATCTCTGCACTTCGTTTCGTCTTAAGTCGAAGCGCAATGGGACGCTACGAGTCAATAGGACCAATCAAGCAGTGTCATAAGTGTGAAATCATGGCATTCTTCATCAACCTCAACGTCCTCTTTCATTGGCTAAGCCAATCAAGCACTGCGAATTCTCCTAGACTTGGCATTTTTAGCAGGTCTATTTGTGGCTATGTGGTTGAACCTCCGACTCTGATCTGACTTGAGTTGAGACAAACTGTACAGTGGTCAGAGACACTGTGAATCCATTTTGTACAATTTTCGTCTCCCTCTGCTTCTCTAAACATTAAAATGACCAAAAATAAAATATTTTGATCTTTCGCTTTGTTTAAGCATGCTTTGGCGCAGGTGTGGTGCAATTCTCAGCAAACACGGCACTTTGGTGCAAAATGTAGCAGACATTCTTTGCTGGCACAATTTGGTGTAAATGGCACAGCACTTCAATCACTGGATCAGTCAAGGAGACAGTGTCGACAGAACGATCCTCCAACGAAAGAGTCAGAAAAGGAAGAACAGAGAGGTTAACCTAGGTTAAAGTCCTGGTTGGCTACTCTGTTTTGGGGAGGGGGATGTGGGGAATTCCAACGAAAGGACGTTCCACAAACAGACTGCCACCCGACAGTGGACGCATACAACGATCTGAACAGGCGGTCAAGTTCCGAGCAAAGAATTTCAGCTCTTGTCCACCATACACGTAATGTACACCTTCTGTCTTCGTGGCACAGCATTCACGAACAATCTTGGCATTGTTGCCACGATCCACTTCTCATTAGATTAAACAGCCGTCCGAAAGTGGTTTTAAGATGTGTCATCTAACATGCAACCCTCAAGGTCAAAGCGGACACGCCTCAGAAATGAAACACAAAGAAAAGCACAGCAATGCCGATGCTTCATCACGGAAGCCATGGAGCCGCTCGAGCACCGTGTGGAAAAGGAAGGCTTGGCGCGCTGCCTCCAGCAAGTCAGTGGTCCCTCGGACATCATCTGCGCTCGTTGTGTGCTTTGTGCGATGGACTGCGAGGCGACTGTGTCTACATCTACGGCCTCAACAATGGCAGCAGCATCGGCACAGGCAAACGTGGCCGTTCACGCAAACACGCCACAGCCGAGGAAGCAAGGGATTGGATCAATGCGGCAAGGCGAGCAAAGAGGCAGGTAACGATGAGGGTCCAAAAGTTGGCATCTGGTGGCCAAGGAATACACAAACACACACGCCGAATACAATACCGGCAGAAACAACTTTAATACGTTTAGAAACATTACTCAAAAACATTTCACTCGTGGAACTACAATGCTTTCGTGTTCCATAGGCAGTCTGAAGTCTTTTTTAACAGTCGCACCTGGTTGTTTCGTGTTTATTTTGTAGCAGGTGAGCAATCCCACAGAACAGTCCAATGGTTCTGCTTGTGCACAGGCATCAGTTAATGTGGCATCCATTTCTCCAGCTTGAATGCTCTCCCTAGGAAATGAAAATGTACATATAGTTTTGTCACCAACATTGATTCTTTGCTGCCAACACCTGGCACAGTTGGTAGGTGCTGATGAGCACCCTGGCATGGCCATCCCACTTCATAATTCTGCAGAAACAACAGAACTTGGCTACCCGATAGTTAAAGCCAAGCTAGTTCTCCATGATGTGTAGGAACGGACCTTTTTTGCAAACCTGGGCACATCTTTGATGGTTTTCTAGATTTTAACCTGGGGTCACAGCAGTATTGTTCATATGTTTAACAACAGAACAGAATTGTGGCATGCTCCAATACTATGCCCTTCACTACCCAGGCTTCATTCATATAGTATACCAGGAGTTTCACAAGGACTTAAAAATCCCTAAAGTTAGGCTGGTTAAGAAAAAACAAAAAAATTTGTTCAGGAACGAACTGCTACCCACGACAGATGTTGGGGATTACAAGAAACATACTAATTAGCTAAATAATTAGCTAAAATTTACTAATACACATTTTAGCTAGTGAGGATAAACATGATTCCAATTAGAAACCTGCTGAGCATCGAAAACCATTAAGTCATTATTTTAGAAAGACATACTAAGCCCAAAACTGAATTTTATAACGTAAAAAATAATAAAAACAAAAAAGAACTTAATTTGGATGCATTTTTATGTCAAGGGGCAGGACCACTGGCACAAAGATGCGCTCAAATAAAAAAACCTCAAAACACGAGTTGTGTGAATATTTGAATAGTTTCGAATTATATGCCAGTAAATATTAGTTTCAAGATGAACTGTGATATTCATACTTTTCCAAGTGTTAATTGCAGCGAGTTAGACTCGTTGAGTGCACTTCTCACCAAGTCACGGAGCACTGCAGGGAAGCAAAGCAGAGAGCAAGTCGTCTGCTTCTTGTGCAAGAGTTGCGGCGACGTCAGAACGACGCCGAGCTCCGATCAGTTTTGATTGAAAGGATGGTGGTAGACCTCAATGCAGATGCCTTGAAATCTACTCACTGTTTTTCAACCAGCCAATAAGACCTTAGCATTCTGACATGATCGTAACCCCTGTGCAAGAAGCAGACAAACTTGCGCTCCGCATAGCTTTCGCAGTGCTCGGACGAGTCTTCTTTGAACGGGAGCAAGTGGGAATGATATGCTAGACGAGCCCACATGCTTCGCACCAATGCAGGGCTGAATAATTGACGCCGAGCTAAAGTTTAGAAGAAAAAACCAACCAACATTATATATACATAAGCATATGCATTGAGTGTGACAGTGCTTATCTTAAAGGCTGCCATTCGTGCGAGAGGCGAGAGCTTGGAAGGGACTGCCGACATGACCTGTCCAAAGGATCTAAAAAAAACAAACAAGGTGTTATTGTACCTGAATGCTCATTTTCTATCCGGCTTGGGCACACTAAAAACAGACAATTTTTTTTTTTTTTTAAGATTGGTTGCCTTGTTAGAATCTAGACGAAGCTACTCCCTTGCACAGACAGACAGACAAACTCGCTCTGCATACCTGCAGAGCTCGTGGGGATAACCTGCCTAGATTATGCAAGAGTATGTGTTGGGCAACATCCCTGGCTCATCATTTTTTTTTTTTTTTTATGTTTTTAGAGAAAGGATGTTTTCATATAGGAAGATTCACAAGTCTTCCTGACTAAGATAGCTGCCACAATTTTGTAGTTTACACGAATATAGCTATATTAGAATTAACCGAGCTTGGGATCGGACAAATGGAAGGCTATGAACAACCTTGACGAGTTCAGCTGGATATTTATTTAAGCATGGTGCACGGTGGTGAAAGGCTAGGACAAACTATTTGATCGAAAAATATTCAGCCAAAACCACTATTTGCTTCAAGCTCAAAATTCACTATTTGCACACTACTATACTCCATTTCACAATAACTTGGCAAACTGTGGAGGCTACGGCCCCCGCGATCCAATAAGAGCGTCTGAGCAGCGCGCGGGACCAGCCGTCTGCTGGCCAAGAGTTGTCTGCTGCGAAACCAACCAACTTCACATAACAGCCACCGCCGCATCATTGCCGTCCGCTAAAGTGGCGATCTCTTCTGGAAAAGTTCACGAGACAACCATACGCTCAATTTACCCATGAATCTGTGGCAGGTGCTAATGCCAGGAAGACATTTCGAGCAGACGCGGTCAACTACAAGGCTGCGATCATTCAAAAGCCACATTCTCTGAAAAGGCTTAATCTGAATTACGTATTGTTGTAGCGTGTAGTGTAGCGTAGTGTCACTAGAGGTGCAATTGCACTAGTTCAATGTCCGTTAAATGAAAAAGAAGCCTGGAATTACTTTTAGTCACGAACGGCGCTGTTGCTATGGTGGCAACAAAGCCTGAGTGACCGCGACCATGGAGTGTTGTCATGCGCCTTGCTCCGACGCCCTCATTGGGTCACAGGGGCTGCAGCCTCCACAGTTTACCAAGTCATCGTAAAACAAAGTATAGAAACGCGTCCAAAGTGAGAGTTTTCTTTTAGAACGTCTTAGAGTACTGTATGCATATCTTTCTAAAAGGCGTTGATTTAGTATTCGACGATGCACAAAATGTTTTTAATTGAAACCTCATTTATTTTCATCAATTAAAATGACAGATAGCAAGTCTTATGTAATTATTTAAGCTAATAAGTATGTTTTTTGCAATCCCCAACGTCTGCCATGGGTGGCAGTTTACCCCTGGAAAGAGTGTTGTTTTTCTCAACAACCTTATTTTTAGCAATATTTTAAAAAGTTCTTACGACTCAAGAAAGGTCCATTAAGGTTAAAACAAGGTCACACATCTTTTGAGACCACCTTGTTTTAGCTGGAACACAAAAGACTGACATCGTTCATACAAGTTTTATTTCAATATTGCAACCTAAATGTGCTTTTTTTTCAAGTTTTCGAACTAACGAAACGATCGAAGATTGGCAAACATTCTCGGACATCACAAGACCATGAAGGGCCGAATCGTCACGACAGGAAAAAAACGGAAGGAGACTACAGTTGCCCTTTAAGTATACAAGCTGTACACATCATCACTCAAAATATATTAAAAGTGCACCAATATATATATATGTATATATATATCAGCCTATGAAGATCTAATCAAGAGGCCATGAGCTCTTTTAAATTATATGCGCAGCGAATCGGCAGCCATCGACCAGACTTTAAAAACGACCTGGCTGTTAATAGCTTCATGAAGGCCTCCAACATGATATGAACATCTTCACACAATTCTTTTTAACTTGAGTTTTGTAGTTAGAAAACACAAAGCAAGAATAGGCATGTGTGTATAGAAGAGCAGTAAAAATGAGGCATGCAGCAAGAAAAACAAAAAATTAATTCACTGGTGTCCCAAAAACGGTGAGGTTGCACCAACAAGCTTTCATCTATTTAGTAGCCTTCTTACTCTCACTCCAAGCGCTACGAGTGTTCTTGAGCCACTAAATATGCTAAGAATGACTGCTGCCCGGAATTGCGCAATGTAAATAGAAACCAAAAAAAAAAAAAAAAAATGTGCCTGTCGTGCTTGTGACAGCACTTCAACAAATCTAAACAAAACCAACAACATCCTACAACTGCTGTAACAACCAAAAGGTACAAGCAGCTTTGGACTTATTTTATACAACATGAGCATGACTTCATAAGCAGCAGAAAAAAAAATAATAAAAAAAACGGACGCACACAGACACACATCCTAGCTTCCCACATCGCAAACACAGCGAGCGCGCACAAGCACAGGAAACTCGCAAGCATGAGCTTCTTCGATGAGTCTACTTTTTGACTGACCTCCGCCACTGTTCTCGATTAGCGCTCGCTAAGGCAGTACAGCTTTTGTTTCAAGACTTCTCAAGCCCTCTTTACAGCCACCCCAGGTCCAGAGTCCCTTGTTCACCGTCAACACTTCCCGGATCGGTAGCCAAGGCAACTGGCAGACTTTCCACGGCATGTTGTTACAGCTGCTGCCATCCCTTTGGGCTTTGATAGATCTAGCTTTTTTTTTTGGTACTGGCAGCCCTAAGCACAGCCAGTTCCACACACATACACCACGGACATGTTTGTCTCTTTTCTTGTAGTTTGGGAGACGTGGTTTGTTTATAAGGCACCATCTTTCACGGGGAGGAGTTGCCCCCCATTTCCCAGCAGAGTACTGGCAAATGCTCGCTCTTGAGGAAGGTAGTCTCCAAGGCTGTACAAAGATTGCAACAGCACCAGCGCAAGAGCTTGGGAGAACCCATAAGGTTCCACGTGCAATTGCGTGCTTTGGTTTATGGCTGACAGTCGCAAGCAAGCTGGCAGGGTTGGGCGAGTATTACTGTACAGTTGTGCTTTCTACGAGAACATTGTTCTTTGATGCCGGGAAAGCTATTGAAGGACAACAAAGTCAAAAATTATGCGTCTTTTCAGACGAACAGCAAAATGACTCGTTTGTGCGGAGTGGGTAAATGTGTACCCATGGGAGGCAAAATTGTGCTCCTAAAAATTTTGGCTCCATCACGGAACTGAGACACTAGCATAAAAGGTTTAGAGAAAAGATACGAGCAAAGCAAACTAGTCTGAATGCTTGCCCAGCCCCAAACACTAAGGTTAGCCAGGCTTTCAAAGTGGGTTTCAAGGCAAAGACAGTTTCACCTGCCACTCACAAACACACAAACTGAAGGAAGTAACAGTCATTTCCCCGCCCCCAACAAAACAAAATAATTATATTAATTAAGGCGCCCCCAGAACCGCTGCAATGCAGCTGAGAAGGGCGAAGCGACTTCTGGAGTTTTTATAGGCGAGCGCCGAGTAACCGAGGACAAAGATAGCTGTACAACTCTACACGCGCACAAAAAGTGACAAAATACATTTTTCGGACACCATGGGCAACCACACATGCTCGCTAGATTGCAGTCGGAAAAAAAAAAAAAAAAAAAAAATCCCCTCCGAAAATTTGGACTTTTTGGGCCCAGAAAGGGGAAGAGAAAGCAGTCCAGATGGCAACACAAGGGCACATTCTGTTTGCTCATTGTCACGAGACTCTAGGCACAGAGTTTGGATAGAGAGAGCGGAGCCGCGCACTGTCCGCCGCAGCCCAAGCTTGCACGGTGCAGGAACTCGCTTGGAAAAAAAGTTGGCACGTGACAATACTGAAGACGACTTTTGGAAGCCAGGACAGTCCTCTCCCCTTCAAACAGCACTGGGGCCACGCTAGGGCTGCAAGGAAGGAACGCGACACCAATGTGTCACAGCGCAGACATCTCCCACTTTCCTCTACGTCGTTCCTGGGTCGCCACTGAGCTCTTCAGTGACGCTAGGATGCCAGTACGTCAGCTCTGGCATATCTTTTGTTGTCCTCATAAAGTGAGGACAACAAAGTCCTCGGGCGCTTATCACCCAAGCACGCAAAATGCAGAAACCGGGCTGTAGATGCATGTGCCAAGACCAGTATTTTTTTCAGAAAACAATCACTGCTGATGCCCAAAATCTGTTCCACAGCCCAGTAGACAGAAGGCAGTGTGCAGAAGGCAATTATAGGAATGGCCAATAGGACAAAATTGTGGAGCACCCAAAGCAGTCGCATCTACCGTGTTTGCACGACTATAACCCACACTTTTTTTCGCCAAAATCGGTGCCCATAACTACATGCGCATACAATCAAAACCAAAAACCAACTAAAAAAAAAAAAAAGAAAGAAAGAAAAGCAACTTTCTAGTATCAGGTGGCCAGCCTTATCACCATCTTGACCGTTTGTTTGCATTCGCCATTGTAATATTTGCGTTCTCTCGCGTCCATGGATTCGTCTTTGCCGTTTTAAGATGGAAAAAGAAAAGAAATTTGACTAGAAGGCGTTATTTAAACGCCATCATGCTGGTGTGAAAAGATAACAATGTAGCAGCACTCCGTGGCCTAGCAATCCCAGCAACCCGACGAGCTCGCACAGTGTTGTTTGGAAGAAAGATCCTCTCAGAGGCGACGGTCGCACACTCGTAAAAGCGCAAGAAGCGCGGCACTTAAAACGCTGAAAGCAAGGATTACCTCTGTGGACAGCGAAGAACCATCGTCGGACTCTGGCAACGGCGACTAGTGCGCGGCATTCATTTTTGCGTTGGCGTGCATTGCATAAAATGTGTTTTATGAGGCATGTGTTCAATGTTCATTATTTAAAGGGGCACTGACACCCGAAAGGTCGTATTTATTTTTATTGTCTAAAACGATGCAAGTTGCAGTCATAGACACGCAAAAAAAACCGCATCGCGAAAAAAAATTTTCCCGCGCGCGCGCGCGCCTTTTTATTTCTGGCGTTTGATTTTCCCGCCTCTCGCCTCCTCGCTTCTTTTGATCGGAGACGTCAAAAATCAGGAAATTTAGAAGCTTTGTAGGCGACATCTCTATAACATTTAATTACGGCAATCCTAAAACATGTTTTTTAACGCAATTGCGTTGAATTGGATTGAAATACCAAAAATCGGGAGTTCGTTGTGGTGCCGTCTCCTGGATTTGTATCCTCCAACGGAAAACAGGCGACACCGCTCAAAACCGGTCCGCCGCAACGCCGGGCGCTCGCTCCTTTCCTCCTCGCTTTGGGTCGCCATGGCAACAGCAGGGAGTGGTGAAAGGAAGTCGACTCTCAGGTCTCCGCAATTTTTGACGTCAAGGCACCGGCGCCGATCGCGCGGGAACTTCGAATTCGGCATTTGGAAATTGTTTTTTTACTTCACGAATACTGAATTCCTAAATCTCAAATTTTGAGGGTAATGTCCCGGCATCGTTTTCAATCGTTTCGGATAATAAAAAAAAATATGATTTTGATGTGTCAGTGCCCCTTTAACCTGTTTGGTAAAATCTGCAGCAATTTACTATTTAAATATCTGGAAGCTAAATCTGTTTGTGCGTTAGAATCGTGCAAGCATCTTCGGGATAAGCATGTTCACCACGGGCGAAAACGCTTGGATATTCACACCTGATTCGCACTAAAGAGCTATACTTTATTACGTGTCCTTGACATCAATACGCTGCTTCATGTGTCTTATCACATGTGTCTCACCATAGTCAATGCTACAGTATGACAATCTTTTACTACTTTTATGCGGGCGGGCGGGGGGAGGGGAAGAGGGAAGGCAGCGTTGTTTTTTTTTTTATGCTACAGAAGTACAGCTGGGCCTTGTACCATTGGTGCCGTCCGTTGCAACAGCAAACACTCTTTGTTTAAGTGTGGAAGGAAGTTACCTAACTTAGGTTAATGATCAAAATCTAAGAGTCTCCCCGGTAATACGGAAGGCTTGGCAAGCATAGAACTACTAAGAGCAATCAAAAACCAAAAGTATTTTGCATCATTTTTTTTTACACAATCATGTAATGATGGCACAGCTTCTACAGCTGTTTGCTGCCTAAACAAAAGAGGAAAAACATCTGAAAGGACCCCACTCTTCTTTTATCTTGCCAGGAATACCACCATTTAGGAGAGAATCGACAGATGGCAATAGTCGAAGCGGCAAATTACTTCTGCCGAAGGAAGAAATCAGAAAGAAGGAAATCCTCCGCGAGACGGCAGCAAAGGCATGCCATGATCTCGTCAAGTACTACGGAGATCGGTTTTGTTTCACCACGGAGCACCGGGAAAAAGAACTACCCGCCTTGCCGCAAGTGCACTAAGACATCCACGCCAAGCACAGGAGTGTGTCCCCCCTCACCTTGGAGCGTGGTGCGGCCATCTTGCGCGTGGGTATGGCGGGGGACCTTGGAGGGTGCTGGGGGGGCCCCAGGGGAAGGCTGGTAGTGTCCATCTGCTCTTCCAGGGAGCCTCCGCCCACCCCGGCCACGCTGCCGTTGGCGCGCGCAGGCTGAGCCCCCAGGCCAAAGTGTGGGTGCACCAGGCGCTTGGGCGCGGGACTGCACAAAAACGGTCTAAATAAACTTGATAGCTAGCTTTCCTGAAAGCTCAATGTCTCCCAAGACAATAAATATAGCAAAGCTGAGCCAAGACAGATATCGAGCAGCAGGAGTACGGATGTCTCTACCTGAACGGTGGCCGAGGGCTGTTGGTGAGCTTGCGAGGTGAGCGGGCCTTGATCACCGTGGGCCGGTGAAGCTCCTCCAACACCGAGGGGGCCACGTAGGTGAAGCCCTGCACCACACCACGTCGCACACTTCAAACACTGCTCACAGACATTAAGGTCACGTCTTTGCAAATCGGAACGACGCCAGTTTAGAACGAGAAATCTAATCGCACCAAAACGTAAAAGAAAAAAAAAGTTTATATTTTTATGGTGCATTTTAAAGGCACTTGAAATCTTAGATTTATGGGTCCCCTTTGCCTTGCTGCGCCGGTGATTTTCGCCGTGCCACGGCCTCCCTGGTTACGCTACACCATGGCCTTTTGTGTCACACATATACGCCGCAGGAGTCATGTTACATCGCGGTCACACATAACCTGCGGCGACACCCAACACAACCTTGGGATGTCCCCTTGTGGTGTCACAATGTCACCTTAAATGCATCACCGATGACTACATGACGACGTCATGTGAACACCACGATGTCGTCGTCATGGTGTCACATGCAACCGTATCATAGACACCATATCTATGGACACAAAAACTCTGGTTGGGCAATATCACGAAAGTATTTTTAGTAGTTATATTTCTGTATAGCGATACAAGTTTTCAATACAAATTTTCAATCAGCATCTGTATTTCAGTATAAAAATAATTTTTGGTGTATTCCTTCTATTGCGATACAACCCCGGGCCAATGTATCTCGTTAAAATGTTTGGAAAAAAAGTGACCCCCAAGCAAAAGCTCAAGGTAGAAGGTACAGTAAGTAGGACCTTGAGACTTTGTTTTCAAGCAGACCAAGGTTTGTTTCGAACATTCTGGCCCCGACATTGGTGACTCCCTTCCCTATTTTCCAAATATAATGTATGTCTCCCGGAGTGCTTCAGTTGGACTATTTTTTGTAAAATCAAAATGTTGAAGGCACTGTGGGTACGAGATTAATTATTCATTGCACTCCCAGCCCCATTTACCAGGGCGAGCGTAAAGTTTCTTCCTTCAGATCATCAGATAAAACAATTTAATTTAGAAGCGATGTCGTGAAGTGACTGCAGAAAAGCTGTTGACATGGAACTAGAGGATGCTGACCAGAGATGGGCAAAATACATGCAAATATGTATCGAAATACAAATACAAAATACTTCGTCAAAAATGTATTTATAATTACAAATCTAATTACATTTCCAAAAAAAGGTACAAATACAACCAAATGTATTTGGTCTCCCTTAAATACTTTTCCAAAATTCGCTGACGCAAATTTCCTCGAAATTTGCGTCAGCGACTTCAGGGCACCTGCAACAGGTTTCTGGGTATCTCATTTTAATTTTGCATCGCACACTAGGGAGTTAGTGTGCGAGGCTTTAGCAATGTAATCGAAATATAATCACAAAAAAATGCAATCAGCTTGGACGTAATAGGTGAAAAAGTACAGAGCTTCAGGCACCTTTTTTGTTGATTACATTTTGGTATAGGCCAACAAAGAACCGAGGCGACCGAGACACGCAACACTAGCTGGAGAATTTTCGATTGTTGCAACACGCCCCAGTTACAAAAATCTGGACGCCCCGCGCATTTAGAATGTTCCAGGCAAAAATATGGATGGAAATCAGGCTGGAAAGCATCACAAGCTGTCACAGGCACTTATTTTGCCAGTCTGCCTGTGAACGTCGATTTCGTCACTATTCTTACCTTGGACTAGCACCGTAATCACAAAGTCACTAAACGCTTGTGCTTGATTGAGAGACACTGCATTCGGTGCAGAACGTAGTTTTCTTCCTACTCTGGACCGTGACAATAAATTTGAGGGATGTATTTTCGCCCACAAAATTGTATTTAATTATAATTGTATTGGAAATACCCACGTTTTAGTACCTAAATACACATGTCAAATACATTACCCAATTTTTAATTAAATACAAATGCAAAATACACAAAGTATTTAAAATACGTATTTCAAATACTTGTATTTGAAATACTGTCCATTCCTGATGCTGACCTTTCGGTGATGTTATAGGTATTTGGGTAGATATAAAACAAGTTTTAAGGTTCGTGGTATTGTTTCAAAGGCACGCAATATTTCTAAACGAGAACTGCACTGTATGCTAGATGGAAAGTATTATTAACCTACTGAAAACTCGCATAGATCCCACAGCTTTATGTTAAAAGAAAAATTGGAATTCTACGCATAACTATTTGAAACTCGAGAATGTGCAAGTTCATTTCCAATCTTTACCTTATGGTTAGATTTTTTCGCCTGTCAACAAATTATACCTATTACCACCTCTAAGTGAGGTCTTTATATACAAAAAAAAGAAAAAAAATTTTATGGTTTAAAACTTTTTCATTGTGAAAGCGGTTTTCGTTTGTTTTAATATGCACCCATGTTCGTTGACACTTGCAGAACGCTTAATCGAGTTCACTAACCTGAATATCTGACAAAATTGGGAGCGGCCGACCAACGAGCTCTTTAAAAAAAGCTACTTGTTATCAAATGCAGTGGAGTGTAGCAGCAAAGTCGTACATGTACTTTTAATTTGTATTGGCCTCATGAGTAAAACATATGCAGCAAAAATTTGTTTCTTTTTGGTTTTACAAGCAGCAACTTTCAGCCGGAGATAAAAGAGTTCACATCACGCAAAGATCTTAAAAAAATATATATGCGAGCATTACTGCCTTGGCAAAATGTATTTCTGCATATGCATTTCCAAATACTTTCATTATTTTTCAAATGTATTTCCAATACATATAGTAATACTTTTGTATGGATGTATTTCAGTATCACTATTTTAGCTGACTTCGTCATGTATTCCAGTACTTATAGTTCCAAACATATTTTACAGTATCCCTGCCCAATCCTGTAAATACTATGCATTAAAGGAGCTGTGGACTATTTTAACGTTCAAAAGAATTGGCATCTTCTGCTTTTGATAATGTGACAAAAAACACACCTCCTTTCATCGAAATGTTGCGATTCCGCCACGTAATAGCGAGGCAAAACTTGGAATATTCCCCGACCTGCAGCCGCAAGCGGCGGCCATGAGAAACACGCGGCGTGACTTCAATGGGGAATCTTGTAGAAAGATAGCAAATTGTGCGAATACCTGCTCGATAGAAGGTGTAACTTTGCTATAAATCTTGTCGTTCCAACATATATATATGTACGTCAAAAACCTGGTATCATCGACAAAACTTTTATTATACAAAGTTTTAGTGGCGCCATTTATCCTAAATCCACAAAACCATCAGCTCTCTCTGCTACCGCAAACAGCCGCCAGAAGCCAAAGGGGGAGGGGGCACAGGGCCGAACGGGTATGGCCGGACCCGGATTAGACTTTCCTCCTTTCACCACATTGTTCACGCAGCGCTCGCCAGCACGTGGTCGCGAGCGGATGAGTTCTTGCTGCTCACTGATGGCTCTAAAGAGAGAACTTTTCCAGAACCCCGCACTTACCCCATCAACGTCACTGCGCACGTGACCCGGAAGACGACGTACGAGTTGAGAGCCGGCGAAAACCAGGACCTTTTTCATTTTTTTAAAATAAAAACTAGGGTATCCAGGCAAAATCTGTTTTCTGTAGTTCACTTCAGAAGTGTCAGGCATCAACTTCCACAATAATTTAAGCAAAGCCCTGAAATTGTTGCACAGCTCCTTTAAAAGAAAAAAAAAAAAAAAACCTCCTTCAGAGAGAAGGTGCACAGTCTCACCAGAAACACCTGGTTGACGCTGTCGCTGAGCATGGCGTCGTCTGGGCTGTCGATGGGCGTCTGCTTGGTGAACTTGGTGTCGAACTGGGACACGTCTTCGTCGCTCGACTGGACAGACAACCCCACTATAAGATGCGCTCAGACCTCTTTTACTTCAGCGGAGGCAGAAGTCAAAGATGACGCACGATTCGACGGGGAAAAACTACCGCAATTATGTTTACAAATGTTTGACTATTTGTCTAGACCTTCCCAAACAAACTAAAGAAAAAAAGGAGTTGGGAAATTATCTGTACAGCCAAAATTTTATATCTACTCGCACGAAACTGATACAGAGAACACACATAACTTTACTCAGATTATGAAAATCCAGCGCACGACGACTCGGAAAAAACAGCTTAGAACTCGCAAGCGCCGACGAAACAATGGGTGAGCAAGAACCTCCAAATTACCCAATTTATTTTGACTAGGACCGGGCACCGACGTTACGTGTACTCGGTACCCCCAGAGTCAACGATTACGAGGCTCAATAATGTCCCCACGAGGAGGGATGGCACCACCATCTGCCTCAACTTTCTGCGGGCATGGAGCTGCAAAGACACTGACTGACCAGTTGCGGTTTGATGGGCGGGTCGACGTGCCTGGCCAGCACATCCTGCCAGTTGACATGCCTGAAGAAAGGGTGGCTCTTGATGTCGCGGGCGTCGCCCACGCCGCTGCCCAAGCGCTGGAGCACGTTCCGCCTCAACAGCTGCCGACGGAACAACGGATTTCCACGGTCACGGGGAAAAAAAGAGCAATGTCGTGCTCAGAGTTGTACAAACACTAGATTCCAGCTCTGAGGCCAGAAATAACCCAAAGAGAAAGAATTATCAATACTGAATGCTGGGCTAGTTGGTATTGGTTTTGGTTTGCCAAAGGCACGGTAGCGCTTTTTAGACGAGGACAAAGGAAAGACAAGACAGACACGAGCGCTGACTGCAACTATTTAATCAACATGGAAATGAGGCATATATACACTCTTCGATCCTAACAATCAGCCAACTCCAGGCCTTGCCGCCGCTCAGGCCTTGCCGCCGCTCAGGCCTTGCCGCGCAGAGCGGCGGCAAGGCCTGGGGTTGGCCGATTGTTAGGATCGAAGAGTATATATGCCTCTTTTCCATTTCGATTAAATAGTTGCAGTCAGCGCTCGTGTCTGTCTTGTCTTTCCTTTGTCCTCTTCTAAAAAGCGCTACCATGCCTTTGGCAACCCAAGAAAGAATTAAAAAGAATATTTTTAAAGGTGTACTTTTGCGAATTTTTGGGCTACCCCAACTAACCAAAATGTTATGAATCCCCAGATTTCACCCTTTTTAATATGGTATTTAGTATCGCAAAATTCAAAATGGCGTTTCTGAAAACGGAAGATTTGGCCAAAACCAACATTCAAATATACCGGCGCCTTTCAGTGCTGTCATGTCGGGGGAAAGCAGATTTGCAGGTCAAGAAGGTGGTGTAAAAAATTAAATATTCCGAACATTTGTTTAGTGCTGCTGCGCGGGTGCTGAAGGGAGCTTCCAGACCATATACTTGGCGCCATAAAACTACTTGCAATCAGTTGGGAACAAATTTTACAGTCCAAAAGGTGGACGGCTGCCTAAAAAATTGGCTTGCTCTTTATGTCTATACAGCCTTGATGGAGATGCGCCTCAACGGGTAATCGGTCTCTTAGCTGTAGATGAGAAATTTAGCCAGTGGGGTACAACCGCTAACCTGGGATTTTTAATGTGCATCACGCAGTAGTGATCACACGAAAGCGTGCCGGTACGAAACTCATCCAGATCGAAACGGGCGGGGGCGGCGGGGATCGAACCCAGGAGGTTCCCAGCGCAAGCTTTCGCTCCATGCTCAGAGCTGAGACGCGTTAGCCCACTTGGCCACTTCCTCCCTTGGACGGCTGCCTTCTGTTAACGTTCCTTTTATATTGTTGCCAGTAGGCTTTCAGTTTAAAAAAAACAGGGCGAGGACCAAAATTGTAAATTCTATAACTTTGGCAACTAAAATTATTTCAGCCTAATATTTGGGTTACGAACTCAACAATGTTTGTGGGTGCATTTAGCCAATTTTCAGTCAAATCGGAGACCATGAAGAAAACATCAAAGTACACCCTTAGCCTCTAAAAAAAATAAAAAAAATTTTGAAGTTTGGTTGAGACACGTGTAAAAAAATTAATTTTACGCAAAAAATATATTTTTAGAGCAATATTGACAGCGTGAGACAATTTAGTTGGTAGTCACCTCCTTTCTTGTTGTTTTCTCTCTCGGCATTTCGAGCGAGGAGAGGTGGATTGGCTTCGCCTTCACGTTAAGGTGGAAAGAGCGAATGAACGTTCTGTGATGTCATGAATCTTAAGCGCAAAATTCAAATAAATCTCTCGCCGTCAATTTTGCTCTAAAAAAATTATTTTTTTTCCATAATTTTTGACAGTTGTGTTTGATTTGACTGTTTAAAAATAAAGTTTTTTCTTTCAGGGGCCCTTTAACCCATTCACTACCAAAGCCGGCGAATCGCCAGTCTGCATGAATTTCTATTTTAAAGAGCCATTCATAGATGGCACGCTATGTAGTCTTGGTGTAGTGCAGTTAGATACATTTCCAACAGATGGCGAGGGTCCTTCTGTTAACTGTGCTTGTTTGAGCTTGTTCTTCTGTGTGTCGTCTTTCCGACGATAAAATCATAGATATCTTCTTCGACAGCGTTGATGACGGGATGTCTGGTGAGGGTAGCGAGTTTTCATAGCTTCTATTAACGACGGGAGCGATTGCGACACCAGTTTTGAGTATGAATAACGACAAGAGCGCACTGGTTGTGCGACGCCTAAGCTATCAAAGATGGAGTGTTTCGAGATCATTCATACGAGGAAGAATTTGTGAGGACCTATTGATTTAAAGACTTGAATGAACCACTTAAGCATGTAAATAAACACATCTTTTCTGCAGTGAGTTTTACTGTTAAAGCCAAGCGAAACAGTCGTGCCTAGTGTGGCTTGGTTTTAGGGTAAAAACATGCTGTACAGACGGCCCAGCAGTGCGCAACGCGCGTGCTAGCGAATGAGTTAAGGAAATGCTGACCCCCCCCCCCCCCCCCCCCCCCAAATTATTTTTGACCTTCTGCCAGGCAATTTATTATGGTGTCAGAAGACTACCCAATCAATATTTTGCCACAGCATCATATATATTTAATAAAGTAAAAAAAAAACTGCAACTGTTCGAAACTGAAATTGGAGTGGGGAGGAAAAAAAATTATAGCGAAGAAATTTAACAAATCATGTGGCTGTGCCTTTCTTTTTTGTCTATCAAACTATTTGCAGTTTTTTAGAAGCCACAAAAAATGGGTATCATGTTTTTTGTCTATTTTTAGTATTGAGTGTGTGACTTCGGCGACTCACGATCTTGATTATCTTTGGTGGTTGTGTCGGCATACGGCCACGGAGTAGAGAGTGAGTGCAACTCAAACCGGCTAGTCCTTGATCAACGGTTTTCGGGTGTAAAGAAAACGAATTTCGAGCTGAAAATTGTGATCTGGGTACTTTGCCTCTTGTATGTCATGTACAAATAAAAACCTCAGAGAGCACAAATACCCGTGCCCAGGTGGAGCGTGGCAATATTTAGGTTACAAGTCCCATTTTGAAAGTTGCGACATCCTTTAGTTTTGGAACTATCTGCCAAAAAAACAGTGAGATCACGTGACACAGTGACTTTGCAGTAAGGTGACCCCATACTATCATGTAATGCTACAATAGTTTCTAGGCATTTGGTGATAGTGACAACGGAGACCCTGCATTATTACTTCGATGGCCCTCCCCCATCAAAATAATGATGTAGGCTGTAGGGGGAGAGCTATCGATCCAAATTCGCCTGTTTGGATGGCAGACTTGAGAAATGGCACACCTTCCTGAGCAGGTCTCTTGCATCTGGAGTCAGATAAGGGGGCAAGTTGAGGCGACATCGCAGGATCTTAAAAAGAAAAAACATGAGACAGAAATGAGAAAAAATAGTTTACAAAAAGACTTCTCCAGATATTAATGAGACTTCATATTGCAGACAATAAGAAAAGTGTAATAATACTGACTGAAAATAAAGAAGGACCACAGATTACAACAAACACAAGATAGTCTTGGTCAACCTTGCTGAATAAACCAGGCCAATGATGTCATAAATGCAGAGAATCGGCCAGTCAATGAAAAAATGGCAATGCCAGACAGCCCCATAATGTAGTAAAACTAAAGTAAAATAAAGTCACAGAAAAACCACTTCCTTTAACAGTGGAAAACTAGCCAGTTGGTAAGAACACTACTCACATTCTTGCCGAGTGAATTTAGAAAACTTCAAATGTACAGTCTTTGGTAATATGAAAGATCCACTGGGAGCGCGTGGCCGAGGCGGTGGCTGGCGGGGGCGCTGTAGGCGCTCCGGGGAATTCCATTCTGCTTCGAGGGGAGGACGCTCACTCGGGGCTCAGCACAATCTGACAAGTGCGTTTCGCTTTAGCTGAGCCCGAGTGAGCGTCCTTTCCTTGAAGCAGAATGGAATTGCCCGGAGCGCTCGCAGTGCCCCCGCCAGCCACCGCCTTGGCCACGTGCTCCCAGTGGGTCTTTCATATTGGCGGAGACTGTACAGGAGAAGCCTCGGCACTCAATGCCAGACAACCAACACAAAGCAGCTTTTTTACCTTTTCTATCGTCTTCTTCCTGTTCTCTGCAGTGTACGGGGGCTGAAAGGAATGATGAAAAAATGCCCAAGGTTACTTTGTGATAAGGTCACTGGCTCCTGAGGAGGTAGTGCCATTGCCTTCCCTGCCTGCTAGCCAGACACAAACGAATACTAACATACAGACAAAACCTCTTAAAGGGATTGGCCGATCGATTTTGGTTGCCATAGTGATCGCCATTTTGGGCCTTTAAAATCTTCGAAGCATCGAAAGGGTCGTTCCAACCAGTCGCACCAAGATTGCTATGGAGCATCATCGTACTGAAAGTTTTCCTCGGCGAATATAAGTGTATTTGCATGCAACCAACTCATCACTCATGCTTATCTCACCAGATTTCTCACAATTACATTGCTCTTCCGTATTTCAAGACAGGAAAATTATTTTTCAATGCCCCCAAGCACTGACGTTGCATGCGATGGCGGTACGAAGATGTATGCCATCATATATGGCGTCAGTGTTTGGACTTGGAGGATTTGAAAAATAATTGTCCTGTCTTGAAATGTACAAGAGCAGCATAATCAAAAGAGACCTGGGAAGATAAGCATGAGTGATAAGTTTATCGCATGCACAGTGCCAAAGACGCTTATATTGGCCGAGGAACACTTTCAGTATGATGATCCTCCATAGCAATCTTGGTGCGACTGGTTGGAACGACCCTTTCGAAGCTTTGAAGATTTGAAAGGCCCAAAACGGCGATCGCCACGGCAACCGAGATCGAACAGCCAATCACCCTGAGAGTTTTTGTCATCTGTATGTTGGTATTTGTTTGTGTCCGGCTAGCGGGCAGGGAAGGCAATGGCGCTACTTTCCTGGGATTGAGTGACTTTACTTTATGAGGGAATACACTTAAACAATAAAAATGCGTAGACAAATAAAGAGCAGTAGGATCTTCAAATGGGAAACCTCCAAAAGATAAGCTGCAAAGAGCTGAGGCACAAACCCACACTCTACAACTGAGGAAAATTAGTATATTTCCAGCTTCTCCATTTCATTAAATTTCTACCTTTATTACTTCATCTAGTAAGCCAAAAAAGCAATTTCTTTGATGATTAAGGCACCCATCAAACAACTTTTTAATTGAAGAGTATGAGCCCTTTGTATAATCTAAAATAGGCTGCAAAAAGTATTTGTACCAAACATGAGGCACTTTCAAACTTAGAAACAAAGAATGAATTATTAGGTATTTTAGACTTCATGCCACGGTTGTACTTTTGGAGCAGCAATGTTGCCATCTACAGTGCCTCATGGGGCGTTGGTACCAGCTCATACTGCATTCTGGAGCAGGTTAAGAGAGCTCAATGCTTGAGGTACACGCTTGAGCAAGATAAAAGCAGCTAAGATAAATTTTCATTGCAGGCGAGAAGCACTTCAGTATGCACCTTAGGTAAGATAAGGAGCAATTTTGATTGCGTTTAGCAGCATTGAGCCACAAAAGTGGTTAGGGACCTAGCGAGATAGGATAACATTGAAACTTGGTGAGCCTTTAATTACTACTAAAAAGCATTGCAACCCTTTTCGTCAACATTAAAGAACACTCGGTACAACATGTTTCTGTGACGTGTCCTCATTACTTTCTGCATGGCTCAGTTACCTTGTTACATCATGCACAAAAGCCAGAGTGCAATTAATAGTTCAGAATAAAGATGAACGCATAGCAACTAACCAAGGCGTCGTACCTGTAACGACTTTCTCGCATCAAAAATGTCTTATTAGAACCATGGCAAAGGTAATACTTATTTTATATGAAGCAACGTTTTGTAGCACTTAGCTTTAGCGCACAAAAGAATTCCGCAATATCACACTAGCTCCTTTGAATGTCAGTTACTGTTTGGTTTTATTTAGGATAGCATCAATTTGCTCGAGCACCCCAGGCAAGTCAGTGTTTGCCTCATCAAGTAGGACATCGCCACTCTCAACTTTCCCGAGTCCTCGTCTTTAACCCCAAGATTAATAATTTCTTGGGCACTACTCGGGAGGGACTTGAGCGATGACACCATGCCGAGCAGACGAGACTTTTTTCCCCATTAGCTTCACACGTAGTTAATTTTACCCGTATTTTCCCGTGAACCCGTTCGCTTACCGCACAACTCGCTTGCATCCGACATATGTCGCATCTACGAACCATGCGACGAGTGTCGGCGACGGACGTGCAAAAACGTGGAGGCATGGGAACGGTACCACAAATTCGGAGTTCATCCGACTATGCAACCCAGATCACAAGTAGCATAAATTAACGAAGTTGTTGTATTCGCAATAAAAGTGAACGCGGCCGAAGTATGCCGAACTGGTATACCGCTCGCCAGAGGGCTGCTGGCCGGAAAGGATTAGAATCGGACAACAAAGAGACTTCGTACGTTGGGAGTTGTAGCGTGCCGACAATACCGGTAGCCAAGGCCAATGCGCTGCCAGCACTGAATTTCGGTTCTATCCAATCGTGATTTATCTTGCGGTAATGCATTTTTTATTCTAAGGTTAAAGTAGTAAAAAAAAAATAGGGTATTTACTTTTGTTCATTTGTTGCCAATTGGATGACGACGGGAACACTGGCTGCGAAGACTGTCAAACCGAAGCGCAACGACTTGGCCTCTGCCAACTCGATTAACCATTTATAGTTGAAGAATAACAATGCGTTTGCAGGAGATCGTCGTCGTGGGACCCAAACCCCCGAGTTTCTTTGCACGCTTCTGGGGAGAAATCCCCGCGATTTCTCCCTCGTGTGATTACCCCTTTATTGCCAACCAATTGCAACTATGGATAGCAACTACGGGATTGAGAGCGGACGAAAAACGAAAACAAGAGAAATATGATTGTTTCGGCGCATATTAGTGTGAGTAATTGACTGCGGTGCAGTTTCTGCTACATAGCGCAGGGGGGCGCAGACAAATGCATCTGGCACAAAAATTTTGCAGATGGTGCAGCCGTTCCGTTAATCTACTAGCGCCACGCAAACATGTCTACGGTCTGAGAGATTCAACCTTGCCGTGTTGCGAGCAGGGAAATCATTGTCTACAATTGTTTTCCCTCTTGCCAGTATTTCCCACTGGTCTCGAGATCCTTTAAAACCCTTAGTCGTCACCGAATACTTTGACTGTTCGCAATAAAACTAATCTACAGATGCTGAATACAAAGCACAGATACAAAGTGGGGGAGGAAAGGACTTACAGCGCCCGTGAGCATGTCGTACATGAGGGCCCCCAAGCTCCACCAGTCAACCGCCTTGGCATGCCCCGTCCTCGTAAGAATTTCGGGAGCCCTACAAAACACAATAAAGCCAATGATTCTAACAAAGCAAGAGACAATCCCCATCATTCATGTTATTTATTCATTCCATATTTTTAAACAGAAATGATCATTAGAGGCAGTTGAGCGTGCACTCATGAAAATCCCGAGACAACATGCTTTGCGTTGTGTGCGTGTTCATGTATGTGGTTGGGTCACCTTAAAGGGTAACTGCAAAGAAAAAAAAGTTTTTTTTAAAATAGCCTGATTGGGACAAGCATGTCAAAAAACAATTTTTCCGCGAGAAAAAACATTTTTTACAGCAATATTTATTGCGTGAGACTCATTTTAGTTTGCGGCTATTTCGTCCGTTTTAAATCGCGCGCCACGAAGTTGTGATTATGTGACGTCAATCCCAAAAGGTTCTCATTGGCTAAGAGTTTGATTGACAGCTTAGATCTTGGTTGTTAAACCTTTGTTATATGTTGCAATTTCCTTTTGAGCCGCATATTTTTACGTTTAAAGAATAACCCATGTGATGAGAGTTATTATTCTTTACAAAAGGTTTACAAGACGGGCACTTCCGTTTGGATTCATACAAACAAAAGCTTCGCCATTCTTTCATGGCCGCCGAAGTCTCTGCTCCCGCCTGTCTCGCCTACCTCGACTAATCGTTTCGCCGAAGTGATCAGTGTTTCGTCGTTTCGTGCTGACCCAGGTGCTTGAGCGAGACTTCTTGAAGTGAAGTAGTGTGTGTTTAGCAGCTGTCAGTGATAGGAAGCGACGTGGGGTTTTGGCTTTCATAGCGCGGTTGTTTCGTTTTCCTCTTTGCTTGCTTAGCGTTTTTTTTTTTCTTTTTTTTTTTTTTTTTTTGCTTGTTTGCGCGTGCAAATGCCGACTTTTCGGAGATGTTAGATGCGTGATCCCGACAGTGAGCGTTCCAGCAGCCATGTCGCCCCGAAAGGAATGCTATTTGGCTGGAGGCAATCGGGCGTTCGCGTAGCGACCAACGTGTCTAGTTACGTTCTCGTCATATCGCTCTGGAGGCCGTCGAGATTCGCCCCGTGTGCACCTAACGACCGCGACTAGACAGAAAATAAAAAAGCACTATGTCCACTACGTAAAAAATAGTCTCAGTTCATGCATCTGTAGGCAGGTACGAAATCGTGCCCAAATTTATTCACACCGCACGATGCAACACGTCGCTGTGCAAACGCAGTCCAACACGAAGCATAAAAACGGCAGATTTAGGACAACAATGCGGAGTCCATTGTTCAATTAAAACGACGTAATTTTGTTGAAAACGCCCGTAGCTTTTTACTCACGGTATGCATCGGGAAACTTCCACATTTTGAAACAGAACGAGGCAGATTTACTTTTAAAAACGCTCCCAGCGTCCTCACGGACCAGTTTGACTGGATCAGCTGACGACGACGGGGCTTAATTGGTTGAACGTCAACCCCACAACAACCAATTTGCGCTCCGTTTTAGCACCGCATTACACACACCACGAACGTTTCAGCTCTGTCGCATCGCCGTGTTGCACCAAACAGAACGAGATCACCGAAACCAACGCAGCGCTGTCGTGAACCGTGGCTTGTGGTTGCGCACTCGTGGATTCTGTGACTCCCTTCGCTTTCAAAGCGCTCACGACGATTACGAACGATACTTTCCATTTTCCGGGAACATCACAGGGGCACTTACCCGGTCACGTCTTCGCTACATGTGCTCGCAAACCGCGTCAAACCAAAACAATGCGGAGGGCAAGTTCGTCTGCTTCTTGCGCAGGGGGTAGCGGTGACGTCAGAACGCCGAGCCCTTGATTGGCTGATCGCGACCCCCTATCTGAGCGTCGTCTGCTCCTTTGCAACGTCGTCTGCTCGCAACGTCGTCTGCGTCTGTCTTACCTTTCCTGCAACTTTCGGAAGTGCAGAGGCCAGAGGCCAGGTTCACAAAACGACCTTACGCCAAAAATATGCGTAAGACAAAAGTTGAGAACAAATTCGTATTCACGAAACGAAATTATCGTAAGTTTTGCGCAGGTTACGACAAAATCCTACGACAGCTCCAAAGGTGTCTTACGCACTTCTTACGATCAAATCAGCATGGCCGACAGCGTCGCGGTCGCGACGACCAACGGATGTTTATTTTTCTACGTGCGCTTCTCACGCGTCCCGACTTCATGCAGCAAGAAAAAAGTAAAAAGTACTTGAAACAGACCACGACGAACAAGAGCGCTGGATCCACGAACACCCGGGAAAAGCTCCAACGGCCACGATTCCACCGACAACGACCAAGCGAGCACGGCAGATAGGCCTAGCAGGCACTCCGACTCGGCGAAAGTCTGCCCACGACCGGCTGGCGTGCTGAATGGAATATGCCCGCGCGACCCTTGTGAACCTTTCCCTTCTGATACTTTGATCGCTGACCTCAACTTTAGATTAAGAGGTCAATCTCTTCCTCTTGTCATCTCCTTGTTTTCCGAGGCAACGGTGACTCTCGCCGGTAAAAAAGCGGTGAATCTCCGACAGACGCAGGAAAGGTAAAGCAGCCATCGCTTTGTCTAGCAGACGTAAAGCAGACGGCGTTAACTGCGCCAACCCGCCGACGCCGTTAGAGAGTGAGGAGTCTCGCCGCACACGAAAGGAGGGAAAAAGTATTTGGGAGGGAACTTGGGGACACTAGCCACCCTCACCTCTCGGTTCCTAGCAAGCAAACCTCGGCGCCTCGGGACACCTCGCCAGTGAGTCCTTTGACTTCCCTCCTTGATGCGCGTCTGCTAGTTGTTAGACAAAAACAACGTACCGCTCGAGTTATTTCGTCTGCTCACTCTGAAAGGCGAAGTCGAGCTCGCTCGTAAAGGCCTGCACTTCCGAACGTCGCAGGAAAGGTAAGACAGACGCAGACGATGTTGCGAGCAGACGACGTTGCAAAGGAGCAGACGACGCCGAGATAGGGGGTCGCGATCAGCCAATCAGGGCTTGGCGTTCTGACGTCCCTGCTACTTCTTTTCTGGTGCGCAGAAGACGAAAATGAGCCCACTTGCGAGGCGTATAGCGCGGCCTGGCGTAGTTGCCAGATCTTGCCGGAAGTCGAGACGCTGCGTCGTTCAACTCCGCAACGCAAGGAGAGTGAGGGGCGGGGCGTACTCCTCTTCCGCGGGGGTCGAAAGAGCGGGAGTTTCAAATGTGGAGAGGTTCTGACTCTACTAAATTACGTCCTGTGGCGTAAATATTGATAAAAAAAAAAATTTTTTTCGCGGAACATTTGTTTTATGACATGCTTGTCCCAATTAGGCTGTTTAAAAAAAAACTTTTTTTTCTTTGCAGTTACCCTTTAAATTTAAGTTTAACGGAAATGTAACAAGAGGACTGTGCCCATAAACATGCTCGTATCTTTACAGCTTGTTGCTCACACAGTCGGACTGATGTCAAAGAGAGGTGGTTGCACTGTATCCTTAACTCATTACGCCCATATCACAAAAAAAAAAAAAAAAAACATTACACAATATGTTTAATGTTTTCTTATAAGTAATTAGGTGCACATTGACGGACGATCAAGTAGGTTTCCCTCGGGAGTAGAAGGCCTTATACTATCCGCTAATGTGACAATCTTAATTCTTGCTACTCTGTCTGGGTTGTGCAACACAAACAAAGACACCTTCAAAATGCTAGCAACTGTTCGCATGCCACGCAAATTGAGCGTGGGTGGTACTTACATCGACAGGGATATTACGACAGCTGTGAAAAGTGGAACTGTCTACATTACGAGTTATTCTTGAACTTTGATGAAAGCTTACTCACATGTACTCTATCGTCCCGCAGAAGGTGTGCGTCATTGCACCATCCTGGATGGACTCTTTGCAAAGCCCAAAGTCTGTCAACTTCACGTGACCTAGAGGGGTAGGCACCGAAAGAAAGGCATCCACAATAAAGCGGATGAGCGAGGGCATAAAACCCGCCTCAAACAAAAGGCAACATGGTTCGAGTACAAAATAAATTTTTACCAAATTTTTTATATTAAACTATTTGCGTGACTGAAGGCAACACACGAGAATGGGTAGAAGGTTGCAGTTTCCTACCTTGGGCATCCAGCAAAATGTTTTCCGGCTTGAGATCCCGGTAGATGATGCCTTCCTGATGTAAATGTTCCAGGGCTAAGACAATCTCTGACAAGTAGAAGCTGAAGAGTAAAAGAAGGATTGCATGACTACAATGTCACGAAAGAACATCAAAGGTCAGTGCCAATACATCAAGGCAAAGCAAATTCGCAGGCAAAACACTTGCACAGATTTCAATGGGCAGAACCTTCAGAGCTCGGAAATAACCATGCAGAGGCAAAACTATGACGCATAAGGTCAAGAGTAACATGAAACATCATGCTGCGTGATGTTGTATGTTACTCTTGACGGAATACATAGACCAAGAAGTTGGCCCACCTCGCTGTGTCTTCCAGGAAGATCCCTTCCCGCTCCAGGTGCATGAAGAGCTCTCCTCCGCTGAGATACTCCAGGATGAGATACAACTTACCACCCGTTTGGAATGCGTAGATCAGATCCACGATAAACGGATGCTGCAGACGTGCAAAAAGAGAAAGTGGACAAGGAATACTTCTTATTATTGTTCCCTACTGCCTGTCTGAAAGAACCAGTTTGAAACAAACACTTAAAAGTAAGAAATACTAAGCATTAGCACATTAAAATTCAAAAAGTATTTACCTTGACAACCTCAAGGATGTTCCTCTCTGCCTTTGTGTGTGCAGTGTCCTTTTGATTCCTCACAATAGTTGCCTGTGAAGAGTAAAAAAAAAAAGCCCATTTTATGATGTGTTGTTACCAGTATATAATTGGAGATACAAAGTCCTTTCATTTAAGTACAGAGCTGTAAAGCAACTCACTTAAAGTAACAAAGCAACTATAATAAGTTATGACATCTGGGCCCAGTTGGAGGAGAAGGTAATCTGGCTTTGTGCACAAAGCCTGGGCGTCGAGATAAGCTCCGATAGCCTTGAATGCTCCCACCAACTGGAAGAGTTCTCGGCTAACAAAAACCGACCAACCATCGTGAGATTCTTGCGCTTTAAGGACAAGCAGAACATTTTGTTCTCTGGAGGAAAACTAAAGGAAACTTGGCACACGTTGTGTGAGGACCTCTTGCTTTTGGTGCACACGGCTCGCACTAAACTCTTTCATTATGGCAAATCACTGAACTCCATTTTCAAAATTCGCTTTGACAGACTGTACGCCAACGACAAGTGTTTCCGGTATGACTCTGCGGCCGACTCCGTCACAGAGATTCCTAGATAGCAGCGAGGACCTCTCTCTGATTGGTGACCGCTGACCATCACTATGCGACGTATAAAGACTTCGAACCATACAGTCACGTTCACTAACATCCTCCTTCCCAAACGCGAGGAGCTCAGTGGCTTTATTCAAGACAATAATTCTGACATTGTCATTGTTACAGAAACGTGGGTAAAGCCCGAGACAAGTGACAGCGAAATTCCCCCCCAACCTAATGTTTAATATTACCAATGTGATCGGTCTGCACAGAAAGGAGCTGGTGTGCTAATGGCGGTAAAAAAATGTATTTCTTCCTTTCATATTACTATCGGCTCCAATATCGAGGCTACTTTTGTTTGTGTTACAATGTACTGCATAAAAACTATTATCGGTGTCTGCTACTAACCTCCGAACTATAACGGCACGTCTTGCCACGAGCTTCATTCTCTGCTGCTTGAAATCAATGAGCGGTACCCAAAATCAAATGTCTTAGTCTTTGGCGACTTCAACTTCCCTAACATAGATTGGCTTAGTCTAACAACTAGTGGGTCCAGTGAAGCCAGGGATTTTCTCGATCTATGCTTAAAGGGCCTCTGACACGCCAGAAAAAAATTTTTTTTTTTTTTTTTTTCATGCTAGGCGTTGAAATGGCATGTCAGGACATCACAAAAAAAAATTGTTTCACTATAAAGGTGTGTAGTTTTTTTTTATAAAAAATAGAAATACGAGGCCCAATTCAAAGTTCCCGCCAGTACACTGTGACGTAACAGTGTACCGCAAGGTGTCGGGACGGTCAGAAGGGAGGCATCACCGGAAGTCACTCGAGTTGTATCCCTCCTCGTGCTTAGCGCGAGCGCGTGAAATATTGTTAAAGATATTTTTGTTATTCTCAGCACCTCCACGAGCGACCCAAGCAGACAAGGTTTCTTTTCTTTGCTTTTCGTCGCTTAATGTTGTTGCAAAGGTAGAAGAAGAGGAGTCGGTGAATTGACGTGATCAACTACAATGCCTAGAAGGTGCTGTGTGAGGCACTGTCCCGGTATTTCAGCAACTGAAGAAGAGATTACACTGCATGCATTTCCGAGAGATGGCAGGCATCTTCAGCCTGGAGAGTATACAACGATTCGACAACCTCGGTGTCCGAACCTTCAGCAATGCAATTGGGCGTGTCGTACGCTAGCAATCCTAATTTCTGCAAGCGTTCAAAAATTTTTTTTTTTTTTAAATTTGATAGCTTTTTATGTGCCCAGTATAGCTCTGTATCATCGGACTGACGGCATGCACTCGTACGCTGGCTTGTACTTGCAACGCTCTCATCATTGACCTCCATCACGTCGATCCAATGACTCTTCGTCCTCAACTTTTACAGCACGTGCAGCGATAAAGAGCTAGTAGAACTGAAACTGTTTCCTACAATCGCTTGTACAAAAACCAGAAAAAAAAAGAAAAAAAAAAATTTTAGGCACGGTCGCGGAGAGCGCGAGGAGTGAAACTCGCGCGACTTCCTGCGAACCCACCTTTAGTGACGTAGGACGACACCTTCCTTCTGACCGCCCCGACACCTTGCGGTACACCGTTACGTCGCGGTGCACAGGCAGGAATTTTGAATTGGGCTTCGTATTTCTATTTTTTTTTATAAAAAAACTACGCAACTCTATAGTGAAACAATTTTTTTGTAATGTCCCGAGATGCCATTTCAACGCCTAGCATGAAAAAAAAAATTTTTCTTTTGGCATGTCAGAGGTTCTTTAAACCATAATCTCACCCAAGTCGTGAACAAATTTACACATGAAGACAACATCCTTGATCTTATTGTAACGACGTCCCCAGACCTGGTGAAATCCATTAGCCAAGCGAAAGGTTTTAGCAACCACAATTTGCTGACCGTGGAGTTATCCTTACCCGTCCATTATAGAAATCTATCCTTAAAGATTATCAAGGACTACTCTAAAGCCAGTTTCAACACAATGAACAGCAACCTCTCTGCATATCTACCGTTGTATACCCGCAGTTTTTACTCTAGGACTGTGGAACAGAACTGGTTACTCTTTAAAAACAAGTTAAATAATCTCGTTGACCTGTTTGTACCCTCTGTCCATATACAGAGTGATGATTGCAACCCATGGTACAATCAAGCATTAAGGTCCCTCAACAATATAAAAAAGCGGTTGTTTAGAAGAGCAAGGCGTCTAGACTGCGACGTTACCTAGGATGCATACTTTTTGTGCCTTAAGACCTACACTCGGAACCTTTGTCTGGCTAAACATAAGTTCTTTTTTAAGGATCGTTTTAGTATCCTGCGTAACAACCCTAAAAAATTCTTGAAGATAATATCCCTTAAAGGGGCACTGACACCCCAAAGGTCGTATTCTTTTTTATTATCTAAAACGATGCAAGTTGTAGTCATAGACACGCAAAAAAAACCGCATCGCAAAAAAAAATTTCCTTGCGCGCCTTTTTATTTTTGGCGTTTATATTTCCCGCGCTCACCTCCTTGCTTCTTCTGATCGGTGACGTCAAAAATCAGGAAATTTAGAAGCTTTGTAGGCGACATTTCTATAACATTTAATAACGGCAATCGTAAAACATGTTTTTTAACGCAATGACGAACGCACTACGGCCTTTCTTTTTGAAATACCAAAAATCAGATTTCGGTGTGATGTCGCTTCCTGGATTTGTGTTCTCCCTCGGAAACCTTGGCGACGCTCGGGGAAGAAACCGGTTTTTCCCCACGCCGGCTCCCTTCTATCCCGCCTGCTCACCTCTTCCTCTCTTCGGGTCGCGGTAGCAACGGTGCTTTGCTTCACAGCATGGTGCGGAGGTTCGAAAGAAAGTCGAGTCGCAGGAGACCGCAAAATTTGACTCACTGCGCTGGCGCGGATCGCGCGGGAACTTCAAATTCGGCATTTGGAAATTGTTTTTTAATGCACAAATACTGAATTCCCAAGTTTCGAATTTTGAGGGTAATATCTCGGCATCATTTTCAATCGTTTCGGATAATAAAATAAATTACGATTTTGACGTGTCAGTGCCCCTTTAAGTATCGCTCCTCCTCTGTCCAGCTAACCGATGAGGAAGGGTCCCCACTATCTAAAAAGGACTGTGCCACAGTATTAAACAACCATTTTTCGTCTGTGTTTACATTAGAAGACGCCGACGTCCCTATATTACCAGCACTACCGTACGAGCCTATGGAACCTATTGACATCTCATGTGCTGGAATAGCGAAACTCCTTGACAACTTGAAATTGACATCCTCTGGAGGACCTGACGACATCACCCCCAAAATTCTTCACTAAACCAAAGTAATGTCCAGCGAATTTCTCTACTTAATATTCTCACAGTCCTTATCGCAGGGATGCCTACCATCTGACTGGAAACTGGGTAAGGTCGTTCTGGTCTTTAAAAATGGGATTGTTCTTCGGCTTCGAATTACCGCCCTATATCTCTAATCTGAGTAGCCTCAAAGCTTCTAGAGCATATTATCTACTCAAACGCTGTATCTCATCTTGAGAGTAATAACTTTGTTTACAAAAAGCAACACTGTTTTCGTAAGGGACTGTCTTGCGAGACGCAGCTCGTAGAATTCACTTGAGTTATGCACCAATTTTGAATACAACCATCAAATTGATGTCCTATTTTTGGACTTTTAGAAGGCTTTCGACCGTGTTGCCCCCTGTCGCCTGCTTGCCAAACTTTCATACCTCGGAATTGACCCTCTCATTCTCTCCTGGATCCGGGATTTCCTCTCGCACTCAACTCACCACAATTAATAGTTCCTCATCCACCCGCACTGAGGTTAGCTCGGGAGTTCCCCAGGGCTCGGTTCTTGGTCCCCTACTCTTTCTGATCTTTATTAATGACATTCCAGGCAACATTTCCTCTAACATCCGCCTTTTCGCGGACGACTGCGTCCTATATCGAAGGATAGCTTTTTTTGAAGACCATCTTCTACTTCACAAGAGACCTGGACAAAATCCAGGCATGGTGCACCAGGTGGTTAATGACACTAAACAAATCGAAATGCAAGTTAGTCAAAGTTTTCACGAAAACAACAAGGATCTCAGTTCTCGTACAAATTACGAAATAACTTAGTCGAAGACGTGTGTCCTATAAATACCTCGGTGTGACTAACTAACAATCTCCACTGGAACACTCGCATTAAGCTTATATGCGCTGAGGCGTCTCGCTGCATCGGTTACATAAGATGAAACCTGAAATCTGCTCCCCCATTTGTGCGAAAATTGGCTTATTAGATATACATTCAACCCAAATTGGAATATGCTGCGGCCATTTAGAGCCTTCACCAAATGTACTTATTAAATCATCTCGAGGCAGTCCAGAACCGCGCTGCCAAGTTTATTTTGAAGAAATATGATTGGTCAGTTAGTGTATCCACCCTAAAGAGCCGAACTGTGCCTTCCTTTACTAAACGTCCGCCGTAAGATAGCGCGACCCTGTCTCTTTCACAAAATCAACCTCCCAGGCGATCTTCATCGCGGCTAAATCACCCGTGTCACGTTTCCTGCATCTCAGGCAGCACAACCTATTTTGACTCCTCGTTGTTCCCTTGTATTATTGTAGGCTGGAACGACCTCCTTTCACTTATTGTAACCCACACGGATCCCACCGCATTTCGCACTGCTCTCTGTTCTCATTTCCGTTAACCCCACTGTGCCATTCTATTTGTTTGCCTCGTGCTTAAAGGGGTTATGATGCTCCAAAAATAAAATATGAAATAACTATACTGCTAGGATCCATTGTATGTTCCTATAATCCTGCTAATTTTGTTTAGAAAATGGCACGATAGTTTCGTGGATAAACCGATTTATATGTGGGCCCCGCGGAGGGGCAGATCCGGATGGAGCTGGAGGTTGGCTACGTAGCCAGCCTCCAGTGCGATGTCTCCTTGCACGCACTCAGACTTTGCTCTCTTGGCGTATCGAACCTCAGATATCTCGTTTACCTCCCACGTTTCGCGAATGCGGTCCGTGACGATTACGTTCGGCATTGATCGCAGCAGCGATGAAAGTGATTGCTATCAAGAGATGTTGGAAGCCGTTCATTTTGACTGCGACCCACTGGCGACCAGCTCCAGCGACAAAAGGTTACGGACGAACTCGCCGTGGTCACCGTCGTCCGGGAATATCTCGCAGGCGCATGCAGGGTGGAAGGTCAACGGGCCGGGGGCGAGAGCGAGAATAGCTTTCGGGTTACCGAGTTGCGTGAGCGGTTTTGATCGTACCGCAACGAGGAGAGCTGGGACGATCATGGGGGCGCCTAGAATGAGATAGTGTTCATGGTCACGTGGTTTATGGACACCATGGTGTGACTAACTTGGGCAGTGTTACCTGGTCGCCAGATGAAAATGATAAAAATTCATAAATTGAATATTGCAATTACCAGAGCTTTAAAAATCGCGTAACTTGGTGTATATACTAAGTAGCCTATGAGCATTCCATTTCAAGAATAATCTATCCGTTTAATTTTTCTGTCATAACCCCTTTAACTGGCTGCAATGTATCAATGTTTTCATCCCCTTATGATCCCCATGTACCCAGACTAATTTGTGTATTGCCGTCGTTCGTGGCGATGCCACGTATGTTTTAGCAGCACCCCATGTATTTGCATGTGTCGTTGTTACTGTTTTATACTCTCGTGTTATGCACCCCCCCCCCCCCCCCCCCTTTATGTAATGCCCTCAACGAGGGCCTTTAAGGGAACTTAAATAAATAAAAAAGAAATAACTTGTTTAGTTAGAAAAATGACACTTAAAAGTTAACAAGTTCCCAGTTAACTGGGATTATCTTCAACACTATACACTGACACTATATCAAACATGGCCAAAAGTAGAGCGCCAACTGAAAACAGAACAAGGCCAATATCTTTTCCACGATGAAGACCAAATTGTTGGCCAGCATTCAAGGCATCTCGATGTTGTGGATCATTATAGAAGTGATCGAAATTTCCTCTTTGCGAGCAATCATAAAAAGTTACAATTGGAATTGTAAAGATCATCTCGGGGAACTACAAGTGATTGGAAGATTAAAGTAGAATCCTGGCTCCCTTCTTGACTATAGTCCACGCACTTACTAACTGTACAGATATGACCAATACCAACACAAGAAGTTTGTTACACTGGCAAGAACCGTTAACAGGGTGTCTAGCAATTTATTATTTTGAAATTCCCCGACTTTTTCAGGTCTTCCCTAACAATTTCAGGTGAAATTTCCTGACCAATGTTGAGGCGGGTAAATACATAAGACCATTACAACACACAAGGCAAGGAGCATTGAGCACTGCAAAGATCATTTGGCACGGGCTTAATCCAACTTGCATATTCCAAAACATTCAGGTTCGTCTAGTCTGGATTAAACGAGCGCTTTCTTGCCGCCGACATCATCAGTCAAGGGGCCACTTCCGGAAACACAATGAAAACATGACGCTCAACCACACATGGCAATAACCGAATGGCAGAATGGCGGCATGGTTGCCAGATGCACACTTTCGGATACTTTCGGCTTAAGGCTTGGATTGAATTAGGGTCTGCGGCTTTCGATTTGTTACTAAATTTAGCAGCTCTAACTGGATCTAGCCTAGTGTCATGCCCTCAATCCAATCCAATCTAATCCAAGGCTTGGACTGGACAGCTGTTCCCTTTGCATCGGGTAGCACACTCTACATCGGGTGAAAAGAGCCCACGCTTTGCTCTAAGAATAATTTATTGCCAATTTTTCTGCCCCCAAGTCCTCAAGTCTTTGCTCGGGGCACTCAATGGCATTTCCGACTCATTCTCCCTGACTGGGCTCGCTTTTTGACAATATCCCTGACAATTCCCCTATTTTTCCCAGTAAAATTTCCCTGACAATGCCCGGTTGCTAGACGCCCTAGTTAATCCATCCTGCTTCAGGTAGCCTGTTAGTCCGAAATCGCCTGAAATCAACAGAACTAAGTTTAAAATAAAAGCAAAAATGAAAATGAAGAGACATTACGTTTCACTCAGAGCAATGAAAATCAGAAGCTTGTCACAGAACAGTTCTTGACAGAGGTTTTCTTAGAGGAAAGAATTGAAACAAGGGAAATCGGAGTGCAGCTCTTTTGACTGGGAAGTCTGGATATGTTAATGCTCTTAGTGAGGATATGTTAATGCTCTTAGTGAGGTTCAATTCATGCAAAAGTGACTATGGCTTAAGGAATTCCAAGTAAAGAAACGTGCCAACAAATTTATATACATGTATGATTTTCATTGTTAAACCTCTAGCATTGATGCAAAAGCACATTTCCGATAAACAACTGTCAAATTTATGGTAAGTTAAATGAAGCCCATACGAGAACAATCATCATGCAAGGGGAAAAGCAACTAGGGTGCTACCCCCTTTATCATGCGACATTTATACCTCTCTGCTTTAAACACCTTTATTGTGGTGCACTATGATGAAGGAAGTCTCTCTTTGAAAGCCCATACCTTTTTGAGCACCTTCATGGCAAAAACACGCCCTCCGTCTTTTCCAGTCAGCTTCCGCACCTGGAATACCTGCCACCAAAATACTCATAAGCTACGAAAATACCTGACAGGTACAGAGGGTAACAAGTCAATATTGCCACTCGTGTACAGTCACCCTGAAGACAACAGGTTATAGTGGGAAGTAACCGGCAGAAAGTCTAGTCCACCCTTCCATGCTCTTATGTTGGTGTTGCAACTTTATGTAGAGTACATACAAAAAATATCAGCTACACTGCTACCATTATAGAGCGCAAATGAGAGTACATTCGTGGGCTTGGGCATAATGCCTGGTAACTTCACCAAAATAACACTTTTGAAAATATTTAGCTGGAACGACATTTTGAAATCTGGAGTAAACTCGTCAAGGGCCACATATGAAGGACATATTTTGCATAATTACTTTTTCTATTCGGGGCATTTACAAAAAAAATAGGCGACTACAAGATATTTATAAGTGTATTACAGCTGGATAGATAAGCAACTACACATTATCCTTTTGCTTTACACAATTCTAAGCAACTTCCAAACCAACTTTAGTCCTTCGTTTTCCCTTGCTGGAACTGTCTCATGCATCAGCTATATTTCGCTTCACCGTAACTCGGCAAAGAATGAATGCAACGGCCCCTTCAAGAAAATCGGAGTGACAGAGGTGAAGCAGTTGAAGAAGAGGGGAAAGAGGAACTCCCATCTTAACACGAACCTTCTGCACATCCCAGGAGTAGCTGTTCTCCCCCTAGAAGATAAGCCTGTCACTCAAAATTCATACAAGTGGCTTTCTTTTTCACCACCTCAGACTTCGACAGTCTGCCCAAAATAGTGAGAGTATATAGTCAGCCATCTCCTTCCGACATGCTGAATGGCTCGAAGGGGCCATAGCATTCGCTCTTTACCGAGTTATGGTAATATGAAGTATAGCAAAGTGAAACTATCTGCATGGTGACCTAGTGAACTGTCAAGTGCGAGCAGAAAATGAAAATGGGTTAACTTTGGAAAATGCTCTAATCAAAAGGCAAAACCTCCAATAATCAAGGTATTTGCAAATCCCAACGAGGCAATGCTATCTATTAAAAAAGGAAATAAGAAGTGGAAAGATTATGGGTAATAAGGATGTGATGAAAAAAGTGACAAGACTGACTAAAACATGAAACTAGAAACGGTGGGGGACTGTAAGGATGTGGCTGGATTTGCTAATAGCATTGATAAGTGTTGGCAACTCATAGCACTATCGCTGACATCAGTCTACAGCAGGAGTCTCAAACACGCGACCCGCAACTTTATGGCATGCAGCCCACAAGCATTTCGCGGCTGCGAGCCCCGTTCCCATGCCTCAAGCGCTATATTTGCTGTAAATAATAGTTTCATAAAGTCGATTCATTTCCGCTTTGAAAGACGCTCTATACAGTATGTCCACACATTTTGTGCTATTTTGCCATATTCTGACTCCGTATTACTTGTCTAAATAGGTAGTTGTTTCTCAAACCACCCTCTCTTACAAATCAACCGGAACCACAATACCGCTACTAGGCAACAAGCACAAACTACTCACCAACGCAGCTCGACTGCACAAACTCTCTCTCTCTCTCAGCAGCAGGAATTAACGCAAATAAAGCCGAGCTTTTTCTTCTAGCCGTAAACGACATCATTGCTGTATTTTTTGGGGTGGGCTATCTGGCCCCAAGAATGGAACGAGTTTGAGACCCCTGGTCTACGGCGTTTATTGACTGCCAGTTTAGGCAAGTTCAACATCTACAACCATGGGTTAGTTGGGTACAACTGGCATAAATGCAAAGCATCGTGAAATTAAAAACGGCACAAAGACCAACGAAGCATGAGCAGATACACAGACAGAATGCTTGTACTTCGTCCGTCTTTGCGCAGTTTTTAACTTCACAATGAAAAACTAACTCAAGTTTCCAACAACACTACAATGCAAAGCACCATCAAAAAAAGCCCAAAGCCCAAGCAAAGCGCGACAACCCTCGTGCAAGAAGTTTACATGCCACCAAGGCCCGTATCATTTACGGCGTGAACAGCAGAATGTGCAAACCTTTCCATAGCCGCCCTTGCCCAGGACCTTGAGCAGTTCGAAGTCTTTAGGGCCAGTCTTCTCCTGATCGGGGTTGACTGTAAGCTCGGACAGCTGGATCTTCTCCACATCCTGCGACCTGCAGCACACCCACACAAAGTAAGGAAAATACCCTACGCTTGTTTACACACGCTGACACGGGCTGCGTTTTCCCACTGCACGAGCATGCCGACGGCTGTACTCGGGTCTCGCTTATCCGACTTCCAGATGTCGGCTGCAGTCACCGACAGCACGGAACACCAGGGAGGTCTTTCGGCTGTCCCGCCCCTACTGCGAGCTTCCTACCTTCGATACTGCTCCGGTGTCTCGGGAGCTTTAAAGTTGCATCCGCAGTCAAAACAATGCGGAAGGCAACAAGCATGGGCTGGGGGCCCGGCATCCAAAAGAGATGTCTCGCTGTTCTCACCGTCTGTGACAATGGACACTTTAAGCATGTCTGTTACCCGCACCACCATTGCCGGCCTGTATTTTGTTCTGCGCCCGCACTCCGATCACCTCGCTTGCGGGTGTTGGCACGACGACGAGCGACTGCGGTGGGACGCGTAAATGGCGTCCGACTGGCAAGATTTGCTCTTTAGTGGGCTGCTCACAGTGCAGTGGAGACATTAAGGCCAGGAACCATGCTTATTGCACTGAACGTGCCCCTTTAAAGTGCACGGACAGTTTGTGCCTGGTGCTGTTTTTGATGCACAGATTCACCCTGAATAACCCAAGCCGAGCATCTTGCGGGACGGGACTGGCAGCACTTCTTCTCGAGCCACGTTCACAAATTAGAGACTACTTGTTCGCCCAAGACTCTACAGAGCGCATAGGTTGTCTGCTGTAACTCATTCCGATGTACCCAACATCGAATGATATTTTCCTGATGAGCGACGAGGTGCAGCGCTGAAGACTGCATGCGAGCAGCTTCGGGTGACGAGCGAAGTTTACTAGGAATCAACGACAACCGAATGGTGCGACGAGCAACAGCAAACTATCTGCCCCAACGATGGCCCAGGCCGTTGCGGCACACTGTTTTTGACTTGCCAAATCGCCAACATGATTAAGTGCCCAGGTGCAGCGAGAAACAAGACTATGACTAGTAAAGTATGCACCTGCACAGATGGACAAGACTGTGAAGGCCTTGCTGTGTCAACTCGACATTTGCAGAAGTTGCATTGGGTTTCGACAACCTTCATTTCCGGCAAAAACGTAACAAGTGTTAGGAACTTATGCAGTCTCCAAGTCTAGGCCGTAATCTTCTGTCGTCGACACATTCACAGTTTGATTCCATCGTACGTAACACCCCGACAGTGACTGGCTAAGCACAGTATACACAGTGCTATGCGTAGTGCAGCAGCGGGAAAGCAGAAGTCAGCACTGTCGCATGAGTCACGTGATTCTACCAGTCTTGGGTAAGTTACTTTTAAGAAGTAATTCGTTACAGTTAGTTACTTTCAGTAAAAAGTAGCGAAGTTACCGTTACAGTTACTGCAACAAAAGAGTTAACTTGTTAGTTACTTTAAAAAAAAGTAACGAAGTTACGTTTCAGTTACTTTTGTATAACACAAAAAAATTAGGAAAAACTAGAAAATGCCCCTCACCAAGTTTTATAGATTAAAATTAAAAAATATGCTTTTTACTTCATATTGTAAATTAGCAGAAGTTGCTTCTCGAAATTAGTGTTTGAAAATTTCCACGCCAGAGTAGTGGCGCAAATAAAAATACGAAACATGCGCAGTGCGGAGTACTGGCACTAATCAAAATACGAAACATGCGCAGTGCCCTCCGCGTATATTGTTGTTTCACGGTTGATTCACAGATTAAAAAGAGTTTTCACAGAAAAAATAAAAACCACAACATAGATAGTGCTTCGAGACAGTTCATGAAATCTATTTGTGGCTATATTCGGGTCGTGACTCGTGAGAAAGAACATATTCACAAGTTTGTGCAAGGCCAACTTGACACTCGAAATGTCGGAATAGACGATTTGAAAAGTGCAAGGAATATCTAAATTGTACTCGTTCAGTGAAATATTATTCATAAAACACTGGAAAGTAACGACAAAAGTAACGTCGTTACTTTCATCATTATCTAAAAAAAGTAATAGAACTACAGTTACAAGTTACCAAAAAAGTAACGAAATTACAGTAACGCGTTACTACCCAAGACTGGATTCTACGATGGCGGCACCCATACAATGTTACCCGAGGGAGTCTATAGCGAGAGAGGGACCTTCCATCCTTAACCTAGGGGGAGGAGGGGCATTATTGTGTTTTCATATTCTTGAAATGAACACAAGAGAGGCTCATCCTCTCTATAGCTCATAAGTGCACAGAGAGAAAGGCAAAAGTTCCCAGCCTTGTCACAGAGACAACTGTGAAGGTTTGCCTTTACCTATATACTATGGTTTCCCCTAAGGTGTACACCAGCAAAAGCTGGTAGGCGAGCACCTCGTTCGAGGACACCTCTCGGCTGCACAAGGTCTCACACAGCAGGAGTTACTGTCAAAGCTCTGCCTGGGCTTCTAGCAGTTGCAGCGGTATGTCTTAAGACTGGTCAGACATTTGTGTCGGTTGCGTTTGCAAAAATCGTAATGAGAACAACGATAAAGTCACCACAACGAGTGCTTGCTGTAAACAATATTGCAAGTGATGCTAGAGGTAACTTTGCGAAGCAACCATGAGTCACGGTTGTTCCGGTCGTTCTGAATGCAATTGTTGCAAATGAGTGAATCAGCCTTTAAGGTGAAACAGATTATAAACAACTATGACTGGGCTGACCATAGAACTTTGTTACAGCAAATACATTGACTAGGCATTAACATCCGTAAAGCTACCTGTCATCTGTTGATAACAGTAAGCACCACTGCATACAGTATTAGTCTTTCAATAATGTACAGAAGGTCAACTAATGGCAGTGGATGTCACACAGAAAGAGGTTTCACTGGCATCATGTGGGATACAAAGTACCTTTTGCGTTTGCAGCACACTTTCTACTGAATTCCCTTTACACCACAAACTCGTAGCTTCGCGCAAGTGGAAAGAAAGTGGTCGGCACACCAGTAACGAGCGAAAAGTAATGTCACCCACGGAAAACAGAAGAAAAAAAAACTTACTCGAGGATTGAGTTTATGTTTGGTTCCACCGATAGACTCTGAAAAGAACAAGCACACAAATGGAGAGAAATCAGATAAGTGTGATTCCAAGGTCTAACAGTATTGCGTAGTACCGATCCTCGTGAAACGACTGTCACCGGTCAAGGCAAAGGCTCAGAAGCAGCCAGCCTTGCTGAAACTCAATTACAGAATCTCCAAAAAAAGTTATTTAAGCGCCACCGGCTGGCGCCTATTCTGCGAGAATCGCCGCGCGCTGGACGTGTCGAATGACTCGTATCTATCATTATTTATTTGCTGGCGACGAACGACAACAGAATCAATGCGAAGAGAGCCTCGAAACGTTTCCGCATTCTGCGCACCGGGACCGACGCCAGCGGGTCTCCCAAGAATGCACGGCTTCTCCCAGACTACCCAAAACGCTAAAATAAATAAATAAAGGAAGCCGGCTGTTTCTCGCGCAATGCCCAAGCGCAACCTCAAGAAAAATGTTAAAACAAAAAAAACTTTCCCCACCTGCTCACAGCTGCTTGCGCACGAGATTCAGGCCAGCTGGAGGCTTTCTGGGTGAAAGCGAAAGTGGGCAGGCCGGTGACAACGCGCGGCTAACCAAGGTCAACCCGCCGCATGGGCCCCAAAGCGTGTAACCTAAAACCGCCACACTGCGCAGCACGTGTCAAAATAAACACCGCGGACCCGCAACGTTACACCCGGACACCCAGGCAGGAGCGACGTGCAGGTGCGTCCGGCACCCGTCCGTCTCGACAGATGTTAGACTCAAGTCTGGACGGGGAATGCCCCGAGGAATTTCTCGAGGGAAGCTCGTTCAACGGGGCTAGTGGGACAGCCGCTCGCACGTCCAGAGTCCATACGGTACCCGCTGGCAACGCCGTGTGAACCCCTCAACGTGACACTGCGGCGGGAATACCACGGATGCCGGCCGCCAAATCGACGAACGAAGGGTGCGTCGCCGTTGACGCCGCTCACTTTACCTGCTCGTCCACTTCAATGGCGTCGTCGCTTGATTCATCGTTGTTGTCATTCTCGACGTCGTGAAGTTCTAGGTCGAAGACTCCGGCCATCATAACGAAAGAGAGCAGGCCACGCTCGCTACGACACACCCATCACGGGAAGCGCTGGTATCCGAAAAAGTTTCTTGCGGCGGTGAGCAGTCTTGGCCCACAACGTGCACGCACTTTTTTTTTTATAAACGCACCATGACACTTGCTTGCCGCCGCTACTCTCGATAGCGGATGAAGTTTTGAGCACGTTAAAGAAAATGACAAAAGAAAAGCACTCGAAGGACGGCCCAGGCCTGACACAAATCGTAAAATATTTGAAGGATTTAGGCGCGACTTCGAGGTTGTTAGTGAACCACAGCCGTTAGGCGGCGCTGGTAGACGGACACAAAAATTTACTCCGCTCGTTTTGACCGCCACGAGAACCGCTACGCTGAACTCCGCGAATCGCGATTGCGTTTGATTGCGTTGCAGTTCTCGGAACAGAAAGTAGCGCGAAGGGCAACTACTCTTTGCGGCTTTATCAGAGGCGATGGAGCTTTGACGTCTTTGCCTAGTAAGAGTCACGATAAGATTGCGGAGCAAGTACGTTTACCCAACGAACGACAAGAAAGGACAAATAAACCAACTGCCGCATTCTAAATATGAGGAAGGGACAAAAGAACGGAACACGTTGTTGTCCGTCCCTTTGTCTTTTTCTCATATTCAGTACTCTTGACAACTCGCTCGTACTTTACATAAGCTGATGCTGTGGTGCTAAGTTCGTAGTGGACCAAATACTCGGCACGTTGCCCCTGAAAGCAGCGAAGCGGCGAGACGTAAGAGCCTGTGCATTGAATTAATTTTTCGCGTGGAGGCTCACATTCTTTCGTTTACAAAAACAATCGGCACCGTTTTATTAGAGTAATTTTGCCTTTCTCGAGAATCTGTGGATGCTGAAACGGCTAAAACTTGGTTCACAACGTTCTCAAAAGAACACTAAAAACAAACATGACACAAAACAAACTGAAGTGAAACACAAGCATGAGCTCAGATGGTTGCAGGATCCGATGTAATTGAACCTAAAGGCATAGCGTGTGACTGAGGTTCATTGGCATGGGAAAGGGCGGAGCAAGAGTGCAGCTGACGTACGTGGAAGTGAGCTGGCGCGTCGGATACAGGAAGGTAGGTGTCTGCGGCTGGGGCAATCATGTTGCTTTACACGGAGCGTTTACAACTGTGTATTGCACGCTAAAGCCCCAGGCTGACAATGGTACGAAAATTGCATATCTGTGCCATATATGTCCAAATGAGTAGTCATATATTCATTTACAGTACATATAGAACCTCACCTGGCACATATGGATTCTTATATAACTCCATATACAGGATTACACGGCCCAATATGGCTATATAAAGCGTATAGCCCTATGTGAACCGTGCACTTTGATGTATGCCAGATATATTGGTGCATATTATAAAGGCAGATTTCGGGAAAGCCATAAGAATTTTTTTTTTTTTTTTTTTGCTAGCCAGAGATAAATAGGGCTACATACGTCAATAAAATTCACTTGACTCTAGTGATTGTATGTTAGGGCCATGAAAATCCGTTTATTTAAAGGGTACTGAACCAAAATTTTGATGCCGGGAAATAAAAATGCCGCAGAAGCGTTGAACGGGACACCACGAGCTCTAAAACTTCATTAATACATCAATATTTCAAACGGATGGCCGTATTTTTGGAAAAGAAGGGCGCGATCAAGCGAGGACTCTGACGTCACGATCCTCCTGGAACAGTTGAGAAAGAGGGGAAGCGGCCTCGCTTCTCGCCTTCTCGCTTCGGTTCACCAGCTCGACGGGACGAAACGAGGAAGAGAGGGAATGAGGATCTCGACGTCACATATCTCGTCGGCTTCGTCGGCCCGTGTTCAATCGCGCATCTCTTTTCCAAAAATACGGCCATCCGTTAGATATATCGCGGTATGAGTGGAGTTTTTGGGTTCTGCAGCGTCCCGCCTGTTCTTCAGCGTCCCGCCTGTTCTGTAGCGTCCCGCCCTGTTACGTGAGCTCAAAATTTAGGTTCGTATCCCTTTAAAGGTATATTACAGCGAAATTTTGGCGCTTATTTCTTGGTGTATTGGTATTTAAAGGAGCAGTATCCCAGCAGATACACCAATCGCTTGTTGAAAAAGACACGAAAAGGAATTTTAAAACGAATTAAACGATTAGCAAAGAACATCTGGTGGATGTCGCTAACGCCTTGTTTGTAATGCCCGTCTAGGACCCTTGACAGGTTGTGACGACAACTGTCTCACTTACGGCTAGGGATACCACGAACTTTTTTCGATTCGAAGTTTCGACTACCGAATCAAGCGGTTCGAAAGGTTCAAGAGATTTCGAATTTTCGAACTTTCTATATTGTATAATTCCACGGAAGTCGAATTTTCGAACTTGTTAAACTAAGAAGTTCGACGCTTTTCGAACCGTCGAACTTATGATGCTAAAAAATTCGATCCTTCCCCTTTTTGAACTTTCGGACTTATTACGCTGCAAAATTCGATGCTTGTCGAACTTTCGACCTTTATATACCAAAACAATTCGATTATTTTCGAACTTTCGAACTTATTGCCCTAAAAAATTTGAAGCTTTTCGAACTTTCGAATTTCCTACGCTAAGGAATTGATAATTTTCGAACTGTCAAACTTATTTTTCAAGAGAATTCAAAAAGTTTTCGAATTTTAGACCCCTGACATGTCAAAAGTTCGACGAACTTCGAAATTTTAGGGTAAAAGTTCGACGTTCGTCGAACTTCGAAAGACCGGCGGACGGTTTCATTCGAATTCAAGTAGTGAGGTACATTCGTTATTCTTTTTTTCTCTCGAATTTTTACATGCGGTGCTGCGTTCCTTACGAAAGACAATGCCGTTTATTTTAATGTTCTGGCGGGCTTAGTTTTAAAGAAATAAATTCCCGAAGGGGCGAGGAAGGACGACAGTTTTCCGACGATTGTCGTTTGTGCTAGAGCACTATATAGCTCCTTCGGAGCAGAGTAGCGCAATCTAGAACGCCGTCTCTCGGCGACTAGCGGCGAACGCCCGGAGGTTCCAACTGCGGTCAGAAATGCATGGAGAACGTGAGAAAATCGTTGTTCCTTCAGTTTTGTGGGGATGTATGGAATGGCAATCATTTTTGACATAATAATGAAACATTTTAGAATAATTTGCGATAAGTTTTGTGCCATGCAAGGACGTAACTTTTTTTTAAAAATGGCCTGAGCGGCATCATGCAGCAGACGACACGGCGACGTCACACCATTCACGTGACCCGCTCCGGCCAACCCGAAAAGCCCATCTCCGCTGCGAGCAAAAATCGTCTGCTTCAAACGCCATTGCCCTGGAAATTGCCTTCTCAAAATTTGCACACGCATCCGATATTATTCAAACTTTGATAAAGTGTTCAGCGCTTTACTAACTTCACGACAGGCTAGTTTTGAAAAGTGTGAACTCGCTGTTATTTTTTTAATCAGCCGTGTTGTGTCGATCTCCATGTATTCTCCCATAGGGCGGGCCGCCTCTTGGAACCCTGAGTACCACGTGACTCGCGCCGAGCTGCTCTGTCGGCCATGTTGTCGGCAAAACACGGGGTTCAAAGGATTGCGCTACTCTGCTCCGTAGGAGCTATATAGTGCTCTAGTTTGTGCAATATTTGAAGCGCGCTATAGCCGAAGCTATTTATGGTAGAGATGTTAAACTTTTTTAAGAGGGAGCGCTCCTCGATTTTCATCTCCGATAGGAACTTTTCAAGATTCCAGATGGCGCGCGCGTCGAAGGCGTGAAAAGGCGCTCTCCCTCCGAGGCGAATGAGTGCGTAACGTATCTGGGTCTAGCAGCGAAATGAGAGCTCGTGTCCCTTAAAACTCCTCGGGAAAGAACGTAAACCACATTTTGGTTCGTTACAGTTGCATTTCCTTCAGTGTAGTCGAAACGCAACCAAAACGCCGCTAGTGACAGCCTTCACAGTGCTTCCGTGCCCCGAGAAATTCGCGGACGGCGCTTCACGTCTCCTTCGGTAGGGTGACGTAAACGACACGTGATGACGTCGCATTCGATGCTCGCAGCGGATTGGCGGGTTTGTGAGGCTCGTGCCGAGTCGCTCACGGCGGCGGCGGCGGGCGGGCCGCGGTCGGCAGTCGCCCTGAGGGGCTAGAGGGGTGAGGAATGCGGTCGGTGAATGTTCGCGGGGAGTGACTTCTCCGGAGGATTCGCAGAACTCTGAACGCCGATATGTTGTCCGTCCGGCGGTGACGGCTGTTCGCGCACGACCGCTTTGTTTTGGTCGTTATTGGTTGAGAAGGCCTAGACTTTTCAGTCGCGATATGTCAGTCGGCTAGCCTTCCCGAAGAGAAGCAAAATCAAGAGGTAAGAACTTTTTTTTATGACGTCTCCATTCAGTTATGATTTCTGTCGCAAGTGATGTACATTTTCACTTTATCAAAATCGTGCGATTGCCACGATCAACTGAGAGTCACTTTGTGTACTTCAGGTTGGTGCAAACCACACACTGAATAAACGTATAACATGTATTGTAAACAGATTGCTTCCAGATTCGGATGTGTTCGAGGGACGAAGTACGTCGCTATCATTAGCTAGTTTGAAATTTTCATGAAAGCTCGCAACTGTTACTTGGTGTCCTGCATTGAACATAATTATTGACTCTGCTTTTAACCAATCTGCTATTTATACATTCTAGCGCAAGACTTGGTCGGCTCGGCAAACAGTCTTATCGACTCCAGTTTGTGACCGCCTCCAGTGCTTCAACTTGGGCGGTTTCGTGCCTGAAGACTGCGCTAATCTGCAATCAAGGGACATGATGTTATCATTCTATGCACAGGCCTTTCAAACATCAACTCGTTATCGTCTTCACTGTGTTGGTGTTTTGGAGGAAGGACGAAGTCCCGCTACAGTATTCTGAGTGAGGACAGGAAGAACATGCGTTCTTTCAATCGAGAACGTTTTCCACTTGCGTCTATTTTCCAAATTTAGATGAATTTCATAATTGCAATATTAAAATGCGACCGCGCAATGTGAATAAAGTCTCCTGGGTGCTTGTTTTGCACTTGACTGACCACCAGTTTTCGTTTCTACATTTCTTGTCGTGTCTCTATAGTCGTTCCTAAGTTTGATTACTTCTCCTCGACTACTAAGATCCCTCTTTTGTACTCGAAAAAGTAAAGCTACTAAAATATGTTACGTGAAGGGTCCGATTTTCCTCTACCCACTAAAAGAACGCAATAAAATGTGATGGTGCATGCGTATTCTACATAAATAAAACGTACA